GTCCCCCAGCGATAGTCGAGTATTAGAAACAAGTTAAATCAAACGCGATAAAATTCGTAAAATTTATTTACTTGACATCAAATAGAACTTTTAATTTTCAAAATTAAACGTTCTATTTGATGTCAAGTATTCGTGTAAATATTAGTGATGGGCCGAATATGGGTTTCACACTTTTACCGGACCGAATATTCGGCCGAATACGAATATTCAGTAAAGCTGCCGAATATGCTGAACACCGAATACGAATGAAATAAAAACGCAGATGAGTTGTCACCCCTGAGGACTAAGGTGTAATGCTTCGTTTCTAGTAAAAAAGGGTCTCCGAATCTCTACATTCACCATACGAAACACAGCAGTATTAAGCTGTTATTTTACGCTGGTATTCTGTGAGAGCGTGGTCCTTCCCCCGTCGAGCCGAACCATTCTTGCTACAACCATAATATACAGCGTGGCTCTACCACGTAGTCGGGTGGCATTCAAAAAGACACTGTACTGCCCATCACCTGTTTCAATTTCCCTCTGTTCCATCTTACGACACTCATGGGACGATACGAGGTAGTGGATATTCTTTCGCCGCCACTACACGGTCAACATGATAAATTTTTTCTTACGACTATTATCGTCACCTCCAAGCTAGGATTTTCTCCTGTATCGTGGGGGCATTTAATATACATAAATTCCACAAGGACAAACATCCAGACCCGGAACAATCATTTTTAGGCCATACAAATACTTGTTCCGTGCGGGATTCGAACCCGCGGCTCTTTAGCGCTGCATCTCATTGGTAAGCCACTGCTCTACGGGGCCGTCAAACTAAAATATTACATACACCATTTTGATTTTTCGTATATTTTGTGAGCTTCTTTACAAACAAAGGTGGGTAGGCTACGATCAAATAAAAAATGAAGTCATGTGAATAGGCTAATTGGTAAAATTATCTCAATTTAAAAAAAAAAATTGGTTGACCCTGCAGGGCATCCCTGGAACTTCTCGCGAAGTTCAAATGCAAAGCGCTCCAAATTTCACCAAATTATGACGTTGAATATGAAATGTCGGAGTAATTAAAATAAATCGATTTTTTTCAAAATTTTTCGTTAACGATATCTCACGAACGAATCAACCGATTTTGACCGGACCAGCGGCGATCGACGTGGTTTTTAAGGTTAACAGCTGATTAGTTTTTGGTATCGATCGGTAAAGCCGTTTAAAAGTTATTCCAAAAAACAGTTTTTCAAAATGTTAATTTTTGAATTTCTCAAAGTCTACCGGTATGAATAAGTTAAAATTTATAGAAAATCTAAATTTGATAATAAATTTGACATTTTAGAAACTTCGAAAAATTATCAGGGTGGCTTCCTGTGACCTCAAAACGTCAATATCTGGTGAAAACTCAATTTTCGAAAAACGGGGTAAAAACAATAAGTTCCTCATTTTTGAAAATTTTCAATTTTCTTAGCGGGAAGTTAAAAACAGTTGACAATCATTCCGCAATTGCTAAATTGATATTTGCACGTAATAAATTCCGAAAAATTACCTCAAGTTCAATTGCATGTCTTTGGGTATTTTGGGTTTGGGTATTTTTCTAAGAATTATGCAAATTTTAATTTCTTGACGCATTTTCCGGTTGGTATTTTTACTTTGTAATTTTTTTTATATCAGCATAAACATTTACTACAACATTTCCTATCAATGAGGAAAAGCAAAAATTTAAAGTATGTATTTGTACTTATATATATATATATATATATATATATATATATATATATATATATATATATATATATATATATATATATATATATATATATATATATATATATATATATATATATATATATATATCGACATCACACGAAAAGCACATAAAATCACATAAAAACGTTTCCCGCACTGAATTTATGTAATAAATAAAAAAAAGTAGTAATAATAAAAAAAATAAAACCACATACAATTTGTTATATAATTATTTTTTTTTTCTTCGAAATAATTTTTTTTAATTTTTTTTTTTTTTTTTTGAAAAAAAAAACTATTGCTATACGCTTGTATACTGATTCTGATAACGCAGTTAACGGGAACCACAGGGTTTTTGTTACATGTTGTATATATACTTATATACTATTCTATATTATGCATCTTTATTTCTATTTCACGGTTTATAATAAAAATAATGTTATTTAGTCACCAAACCACACACATGTTTTTACTGTTTTCTTGCAATCCTGTCCATCCAAAGGTTGTCTGGAAGAGATCGCTCTTAGCGATAAGACCGCCCACTCTACCACATTTATTACTCTCCTTTTGTTAATTATTTATGTTTTTGGCTGCAATAAAGTGTTATCTATTTATCTAAAAGCAATTCAGCTGGTATCTAGTAAGATTAAATAGCTGTTTCTAGATAATTATACTACTCCGTACAAAGATGGCCTACAAAATATTAGGGCTCAGCACCTCCCCATCAGCCGGTAAACAGTACATTGCTCACCATAGCCCTTTTCTGTAGTAGCAATTATACGCCGAATTGCTTCGATTGGCTTTTGAATTAGCAATCGAAGTACCAGACGTTTTGAACATCTGACGTTACTTTCTGACGCTCTTTCAACGGAGACTTGCACGTGTGCGCAAGAACAGTTGCGCCCTCTATCACCTCACTCATTGTCCGATGGGATAGCAATCTGACACGACCGAAGAGAGATCATGCGCAGGATAAGCGGCTTTCATGCTTTCCGCAGCACAGAAGTAAAACAACGCTAACCTTCTGACTCCGAGTCGCTACTGAGATATTCTTGTCAGAAAATCCAAAAACTGATTTTGGCCCAATCCGACGACGGGATTCGAACCCGGGTCAGCGGTCGCTCTTACAACCACGAGATCAAAGAGGCAGTCTCTGGAATAAGAATATAAATACAAGATTTTTATACCGATTTATCTTTGAGATCTAGAGATGGGCCGAGTACTCGGTTAATACTCGGTACTCGGCGTAACTCGGTTTTAATGGCGAGTATACTCGGTTTATGTAAAGCAATATATTTTGGTAGATCGATATAATTAAAACAACACAGTTATTCAAAAATTATTTATTATTCATTTGGGAAATCTTTGACAATCACAATAATGATAATGAATGAGTAGTAATGAGACAAAATTAGGAAAACGTTTATGAAAAACATTAATATTTAAAATTTATTAAAGGTAAATTATGATGCAGGAACACAAGGCTCTCTGCACGTTCTGGAGACAGCCTATTTATTCCTTTTTTCTTCGTAGACGTTACCAGCCTCCGAAAATAATCGCTCACTATACACGGTGCTTGCAGGTGCACATAGAAACACTCGTGCTAAACGTGCCAGCTCTAAATACCTTGTTTGGTGCCCTGCTCACCACTCGAAAGGCCTGTCTTTTGCCAACAAATTTTCTTTTAAATAGCGATCTAATTCTTAAGCAATAGGGCTTTAAGGATCATCGCACTCTATTGTTTGTACTTGTTTACGCGCCCGAAACAGGAATTTGCTTGAACCAAGTTACTCGGCCGAGTACTCGGTTGGAAAAAAATTGAACCGCGTAAAACTCGGTACTCGTTACTCGGCAAAAGTGCTACTCGGCGCATCTCTATTGAGATCCTATTTAGACTTTCCTTTAAATCGCCTCTTTAAATTTACACAATAAAGTCATAATAACTATAAACATACATAATAACAACAACAAAGCAGGCGGAAAACGAGCAGGAAATCCATATAATATACAAACATAACATGCTAAATTTGATAAAACCCACATACATAATTAAAATAGGATGTTACGTTTTTCCGAAAAGCCCATATCGCATTAGCCTTCAACAACTCTTGGTTCTTCCTTATCATGTCACCAAATTGCTATTTGTCACGAGAAAATATAATCATTATCATCGGTTTTACAGAATAGATATGCTGTGAACGGGAATATAATAATTAATAAGGTCTAATATTTATGTATAATCTATAGATATTAATATTGAAACAAATGCCTCCACCATAGATTGCCTCATCTATCTATACTTTATTTTGTTAATGTAATAAAGCGGAAGATTTTTTGTTTGTTTAAGCACGCTAATATCTGGAACGCCCAGTCCGATTAGAAAGTGTTCTTGTATATTATCGCTAGATGCATGAGAATAGCATTAGGCTACAACTCTGAGCTAGCCTTAAATATTGATTGTTAAACAAGCAACAATAAGGTATTTTGTTACAAAAAACACGAATGGGTCGGCTCGACCGGGGCAGGACCACGCTCTCACAGAATACCAGTGTAAAATAGCAGCGTAATGCCGCTGTGTTTCGTATGTAAAACTATATAGGGTAGTGGATATTCTTCACTGTCACTAGACGGTATATATTCTTAGATCACTGAAATAGATGATACATTCAAAAAGTTTTGTATAGATGGGTGTTCAGAAACTAAGAAAAACTCCATTTGATTTTGTAAGCAGTCCATGTCACATTGACTATGTCTTCTTCGTTTTTTTTTATAATGTTATTTTACTTTTTTATTACAATTTATATACCTCAACTGGGTGTAAGGGAATATACCAATTTTTTGTCTAAAATATGAGCCTCGAGTGCAGGACTCGGTAACACAACATTCATCACACTGGTAATCGTCCGCAGCGTTTTAGAGCAAGTTTAGAATTTAGATGCAGTATTAAAAATATTGCCGCACTCGAAACATCAAAGGATATAATATAATGAAGCGGAATTTAGAGAGGCTATGACAAAAATCAGTTACTTGACCAAAAACGTATCGTAGAAGGCATTGGTAATGCACCGTCGAATTTCAATTGTAGATTCAGATTTATTCTCGTAGCAACAGTAACTCGATAAAATGAAACGCTCTGTGTTGATTCGAAAGAAAGTGCAAGTTATGTACCAAATAACATCTACACACCACAGTACCACAATGGACAAACTATGACCATTATTATTGCTTATATATTGTGTTAGTAACTTTGAATAAACATTTGTCAACAGTAACGAAATAACAACAAAACTTCAAGATTCAAGAGTTCTGGTGATAGTCGGTGCTGCCGGTTGCGGGAAATCAACTCGCGTGCCTGCAGCCATATTGAGAAAATGGGGCTCCTCAGTAACTGCCATAGTTTCGGAACCAAGGCGTGTTGCAGCTATTGGACTGGCGCAAAGAGTCGCCGACGAGTTGGGAGAAGAGGTAAGGTTCCATTTTAATTGTTTCTTTATTGTATAGTTAGTATTCTCAGAGACCAGAGATCTTCAGTTATCATTGAACACTGTTGGTTTTCACTAAGTTCTCAATATCATTACAAGCGCAACAAAGCGTATATACTCTTGTCATTATGTATGTATGCTCTGTTTTTACTCCTTGTCATTATGTATGTATGCTTTTATATTTCGATTGCGGCAGTGTTTTATTTATTTATTTAAAATTTGGAATGCAAACAGTGAAAATATTAGTCTGTTCGCTTTGATACGATCGCGTTAGTATCGCAGGCTTAAAAGCCGCTTGCGGTGTATACTCGCAGGGGAATTTGGGTGTACCGACGCTATCTTAGTGAACAGTTCTAAACCTTACATATAATGATTTCTTATATTTACGCGAACACTCCACATTGAAATAATACTATTTTTTACGGAATTTATCGCGTATATTTAACTTTTTAAATACCCGACGTTTCGAACGCTTTACAGCACTCATGGTCACGGGCGGGACTGAGATGTTCAACGTCCATATGTCATAGTTAACCGCGGTTACCATAGATTAAAATTTAACTTTTGTTCCGATCTATGCAGTATGAACTTATGGTATCTTGAAGTCTTGCAGTTGTATGCTTGGGTTGGGATTTAATTTTATTTATTATCGGATCCCAAGCAGATGGTAACACCCAGCCATCTTCTCTATTGAAATTAGGATGTTTTTTGATTTCAATAGCCTCGCGAATCATCCTTGGAAGGAATCGGTGTTCTTTAGCGAGGATCTGCGATCTATCAAATCTGATGTAGTGACGGGGGCGATCCTGTACGTGTTCACAGACTGCAGACTTTCCGGAGCGTCGATTCTTCACATCAGCTATATGTTCTTTAACGCACTTACATATAAGTACACCATCATACAATGAAATTATCCGCTGCTTTCTGACTTTAGAATGAGAGTTTAGATGCAGTATTAAAATCCACAATTAGAACATAAAAAGTAGATCCAGACAATAAAAACTGTTAAAGATTAAAATTAAAAAGGTAACATTGCAAAATCATTGATCATTCATATCTATATATTTAAGATAGTAAAGTGGTCTGTAATATATTATACTAATTTACATGTGTAATCTATATTAATAAATTTACTATTGATAATAAGTGTCTGAAAAAAGTGCAGATCATTCATAAAAAGTGTAAATGATTATATAAATAATCAGTGATTCGAATAAATATTTTATTATTTAATTTTTTAATTTTGAGGTTAATTTCTATCGCTGCTCAATTGACATTTTTAATTTTGATTAAAAAAAACAAATAGCTTATTTCGGAATATAGGATATGTTAATGTTGCTTATTACCAAGGTGAGATGTCAGATGTTACACATCATTTTTTTTTCAGACATGCAGGTTTCTTTATAATGATCTCTATCACCGCCGAGTACGTGGTAGATCAGCCCTAAAAATTAGAATGAACATTAACAATGTTCTAAGTTTTTTCCGAACCTGAGGTAAAAGTAATCATTCATAAGTCATTGTCAATCTATTTTGAATAAAAATATTATATTCAACGCAATTCACGGAAAACTAAATTATACGTGGTAGAGTCATGCTGCAGCTATATTAATAGTATAGTTGTAGCATGAATGGATCGGCTCGAGCGGCGAAGGACCACGCTCTCACAGAATACCAGCGTGAAATAGTGGCTTAAAGCTGCTGTGTTTCGTATTGTGAGTGTAGAGAACCGGGAAACATTATCAGGTGGACTGTGTACTCGCTTGTCACCCTATCCTATAAAACATAAATATTTGGAATTCACCTTCAGACCAACAATTCACTTGCTTAACATCTGTCTTTGTCAATAGTTCAGACAATGGTGCGTCCATAGGGTCAGCAGAGAAATTTCCTCGTTTAGTTTCGTATAGTAAAATTATTTTGTCCTTGCAGTTGGGGTCATAAATCATAGCTTGGCCTCAGCCCGGCTAGGACGGTGAGCTTATTGCGCGGGCGCAACGCCATTATCGATAACAACAAATGAATCATCGAAGGCAGGTACACGGCGGCGGTGCGGTATACAAAGGGGGATGCGACGTTGCTATGTTATGATTCATTTGTTTTCTGTTATTACCCCCGCCTAATACCTGCAAATTAGTGCAATGATAATTTAGTACATATATCGAAGAGAAATTTGTTTATTTGTGTATTCGCTCTTTGAATATCTTTAGTGACACAATGGCTACTCCTTTGTTTTGTACCAAAACGGCAGAATTTATTCAAAATAATATTTTGCCTGTTGGCACCAATATAACTTTTTATTATCTTTATTTTTATGTTTATTTTTAATATAACTTGTTACATTCCAAACATTTGTACTTATAGTTTTTTTAATACATAGATACCTAATTAATAATTTATTTTACATTATTATTATTCTTATTTTAATAAATACGTTGTTTTATCTATTTTTTTTTCATTTTTATCACTAACCCACATAATGACAAAACTAAATACACTATCGATAACGCTTATTGACAACAATAATGCGCATCACTATGCTCACCCCTAAGGCCCGTGAGTGGGAGAGAGCGGAATATTCCGATAGTTTATGACCCAAACTGCACGGACAAAATAATTCTAGTATATAATAGTTATAATATATTGTAGTTTAGTTTTCTGTGTCAGGGGTGTCCCAAGCTCTCCTATTCTCAATTATTTTTAATGTCTACTAAATGTATTTTCCATTTTCTTTTAGGTGGGAGAGTCGGTAGGCTATCAAGTTAGGCTACACGCTAAAGTACCGCGGCCGTCGAGTGGTATAGTGTTGTACTGCACATCTGGTGTACTGTTGCGAAGACTGCAGCTTAATCCTGGTGAGTAGATCTCCTTTTTCACCCGTGATAATCCACTGCTAAACTTGGGCCTCTTTTAAGCAAAATCGCTCGCACGCTTGACTGTAGAATTGATTTTGCTTTCTTTACCCCGTTATTTTAATTCTGACGTATGATGTCTCGATTTCTAAGCGTGGCAACTATGGCAAATAGCTCCCCCTATGGGGTAAGCCTATGTTCATCGGAAGACTTGATAGGCTACATAATAAATAAATGAATGAATGAATGAAAGACTTAAATAAATCGTCCTAACCTACCAGTGCCCGATGTAAAGGTGTAACTTCGCGGGAGCGCCTCGCGGGGGCAAGGACGGGTTATGTCGGACTCGCACCGACTAAAACCCCATGGTGATTCACCTTCGTCGCATATTGGCAGGGCTACGGGAACGCTTTCGCACACTTCCGCGGCCCCACCAGCGACTGCCGCCCCATGGCAGCACCTCATCGGGAGAGGAATATTCCTCTGCGTTCTCCTTCCCAAGTAAGGTGCACCAGAACACATGGTACGCCTTCCTCCACGGCCTCCAATTACATCTGCGCAACAGACGCCCCCGCGTCCGATGCGCGAAGGCCATGGGGCCAGGAAAAACGAGCACTTAGAAGTACTAGCCTTCCCGACCCCAGCGGCGGATCTGGTCTATGGCTCCGCCGCCAACCAAGATTCGGCTACGGAGGATAGGGAGAGCGGCGCCTCGTAATACCGACAATCATCTCCCCGCGCAGCCCCATCACCACCGCATCAACGGTGCGGCCCCGTTTGAGTCGCGGAGGATAGGGCGAGTGGCGCATCGCCATACCAACACTCCTCTTCCTTCGCGACTCCACCTCGGCTGCAGCGGTAGGTGGGGAGGACACACCTCTCACCGCAGTCCACCAACACACATCCGAAGTGGGCTTCCCAAGCCCATTCGGAGTGGCCACCTCGGGCCGGCCCTCCACCTCGGACCAGCCATATGGGTTCCTCTTTGTTTCGCCGTGGGTGACCAAGCCACGGCTTCTAAGCCCCCGCCACGACAAGGCGGGAACCCGTTCGGGGGGGGGGGCGTTGACACCCCTGAGGACCAAAATCGAATGCCTCGATTCCAGTAAAAAGGGTCTCCGGATCTCTACACTCACCACACGAAACTCAGCAACATTACGCTGCTATTTTACGCTGGTATTCTATGAGAGCGGAGCGTGGTCCTACCACGTTCGAGCTGACCCATTCGTGCTACAACTATAATATAGCGGCAGCGTGGCTCTACCACGTTAAAAATGTAGAATAAAAGTTGTTTTTACACAATTGTTGGATCTGGATGCCAGCAGGCTGGTACTCTATAAAACAACTATTTACTTTATTTTATTTAACAATGTAATTCGAAGTTTGAAATTAAGTCAGAAGACGAAATACCTATTTTTTTTTGGACTATACGCACAGTTATCGGCTTAACTACAACCCCACCTGGTAGTAAGTGGTTACTGTCTGTTTGAAAAAAGAAGTTCCTTAAGTTCAGTTTCAGTTGACGGAGACGCAGTCATATGTTTAAAGATGGAGGGTTCAAAAATTTAGATTTTGACAGATATCACTAAAATATTTACTAGCATATCCCACCGTACTCATGGGCTTTTTGGCTGATTGTCAGACAAGGATGACGGAATAAATTCCATCTCTAAACGCTGTACTCAGTGCGAAGATATGGAATTTACGTCCACCAACCCGCCTGCTTAGTGTTTTTTTTTTTAATAGGATAGGGTGACAAACGAGCACACAGTCCACCTGATGGTAAGTGGTTGCTGTGGCCCATATACATCTACATCTATCTTCGATTACGAATCAAAATACTGATGCGTTGTCACCCGTGAGGACTAAGATGGAATGCCTCGTTTCCAGTAAAAAGGGTCTCCAGTTCTCTACACTCACCAATCACCATATGAAACACAGCAGCATCAAGCTACTAAAAAAAAAGCTAAAAAGTTAAATGTAGCGTTATTTGTATGAACAAACCTTCCTAATAGTGTTCGACCGAAGTTAATTTATTGTAGAAATCGTATTGATGATGTTCGACTTCTGGTAACAATGCAATGTGTTAAAATGATGACAATAATTGTAATTGTAATTATATAATAAACTGCACCTTATAAATAACAGTTTATTCAAATTAATTATATTTTGTTAATCGTAAAATCGAAAAATAACACCAATTCGAACTATAAACATTAATAGGTACCTACCTAGATTTTAACAATAAAAAAATAAAAACGACTTTATTCACAGTTTTTGTCAGTCTAATTAGGTACGTATATTTTGTTTTGGTCTTACTTTATAAAACACGTTTTTAAAGAACAGAGGAGGAACATGCTCAATATTGACCATTAGATTTGATAGACCACAAATCCTCGCAAAAGAACACCAATTCCTACCTAGGATAATCGCAAATCGCAAGACTATTGAAATTTAAAAACTAATTTCAATAGAGAAAATAGATGGTACTACTATCTGCTTGGGATCCTATACTCGTAACCGCTTGCTTGAGTTTGGGTACTACAGTAGCCAACGCCGAATGGCTTGAGTTTGGGTACTGTACTGCCCACACCTATCTACATATTAAAAATAAAAAAAGTTAAAAAATCGTTTGCGTTAACGATGAAACAAGTATTTAGGCATAATGGGCATGAATGCCTTTACCTTTTAAATAAAACATATTTGAGACACGAGGCAGATAGGTCGAAAAAAATTATTTTATGTAATTCTTAAAAATTCTTGAAAATAAAAAAAATCCACATGATATGTTTTTATTTTTTTGCACACCTAATGAATCCAACTATATTTTGCATTCGTAAAAAGAAGTGGTCATCGCTTTACTTTTTGAAATATAATTTTATGAAAAAAAATCTCACTAAAATTAATAAAAAATCTCTTTTGTATATGTTGGATCAAGATTATTACATCTAATATGCTACTAAATGAAACATACTTATTCAAAAAGCAAAATAATTAATAAAATTAAATCCAAACCCAGGCGTACCAACTTCAAGATACTGTAGGCTCATTCTCTGTAGGTTGGACCAAAAATTAATATTCAAAAACTAAAGCACAGAGTACTTTTTTATATAGGGAAAATTAAACGCGATAAATGCGTAAAAATTTGGTTTCATTTAATGTGTAGTGTTCGCATAAATATAAGAAATCGTTATAATTTTAGTTACTTTTTATTAATTTAATACTGTGCTGTGCTGAAAGTAAAAGAGGAGATTAATATACTATATACCAAATATATATATATAAAAAAAATATATAATGATGAAATATTATGAATAATAGTGCGATTTAGGCTTCGATGCGTTTATCTTGTGGCGCGACGACAGCGCCGCCACAACATATTAAAAATTCTTAATTCAGCATTGGGCTACAATGGAATTAAATAATAAACACGTTACTTCCAGGGTTGGAGGGTTGCTCGCACGTGTTCATAGACGAGGCGCACGAGCGTGACGTGAACACTGACGTCACTTTGTTGCTGCTAAAACGCGCACTGGACATTAATCCCGCGCTCAAAGTTGTTATAATGAGCGCCACTCTCGATGTTGAAGTTTTTACGAAGTAAGTGCTCATACCTGGTAGGTCTTATTACAAAACTTGGTAGAGGAGTCTTCGTCACGTAAGAACGCCTTTACCGCGGCGCTACAGTCATCATGAAATTTTATTCCAATTTCGTACTTTACATTTTAGTACCATTAATTTCCACGGAACTTCTCCATTGAAGTAGACTTTAGTTTAAACCTGAGACTAATCATATATTACTTTATATAATAACATGAATAAGAATGAAATAAAATCAATCAAATGAATGATCAATCAAATTTAAATAATATTTTTTGCAACTATTTATATATTGTAAATTTCATCGAAGTCGTTAAGAACCGATTGTGAGCACACAAACACACACACTTGGTTTTAAATGATGTGGCAATCCTAGATGACGTAAACCGTAGAGGCCGAAAAAAACTAATTGCTCCTCTCTTAAGGACACCTACATTGTATCCGCTGCTGGACGTAGGCATCTTCTGATCATAGAAAGATGTGCCTGAACCGGCACTCTTAGCAGGTGGATTGCCAATTGCAGTATGCACTGTCGCCAGTCTTGATATTTTACATCCATCTAATTACAAACTGAGTGTCTTTTCTTATAGAATAAAGGTGACATATTCGCTCTGTTCGACATCACACGCTACACGTGACGCTACCACATATAAAAGAATCGCGGGCCCGAATTTTTCGATTTTTTATAAAATAATAAGACAAACGAGCACCACCAGATGGTAAGATGCTATGGCCTATAGACATCAACATTTATCCTCAATTAAAAAAGAAAATGTAGATTTTTTTTTTAATAGAAAAAGGGTGTCAAACTAGCACACAGTCCACCTGATGGTAAGTGGATGTTGTGACCCATAGACATCTATGTACCTACATCTATCCTCGATTAAGAATCAAAATGTAGATGCGTTGTCACCCGTAAGGACTAAGATGGAATGCCTCGTTTCCAGTAAAAAAAGTCTCCGGACTTACCATACGAAACACAGAGCATTAAGCTTATATTTCACGCTGGTATTCTGTGAGAGCGTGGACCTTCCCCGGTCGAGCCGGCCCATTCGTGTTACAACCATAATATAACTGTAGTGTGGCTCTACCACGTATAAAAACAAGTATAAATGCAATCTTTAAAGCAAGATTGCATATGCTTCTGAAACAATCCATCTATCCATTATAACCTATAAAAGTCCACTGTTGAACACAGGGCTCCCTCAATAACCAGTAGAAAAAAACTACTGGGGAAAAAACTATTGGGAGCCATAAGAACTTTCTAGAATTTTCTGCAATCGCCTCTTGCGACATCCATGGGACAAAATGGGTCAGGAAGAGAATGACTATAATACGAACCACGAAACAAAACTCTTCGTCCGATTGCGGGTTGAAATGTGATTGGCGGCCGAAATCCCATGGGATCCTAATAGAAAAGAATGATCTGGAAAAAAAAACATGTGAAACAACCATCAGATAACTAAACTTCGAGACAATGAGACGAATGCGGAGTATCAGGAGTAGGATGATTGTAGGGTTAAATTTATTATGATATTGTTATTTAGCTTGAAAATTGTTTAACTTTTTATTCTACACATGCAAACAGGTTCCAAATTTTCCATTGCAATAATTGACACGAGTGGCTTATGGTAACTAAAGTACGAATATTATTTTAATATTGATTTATTTACACTTTTACACCACAAGACGGCTTAAAAATTAACTATATATCAAATAAATGTAACAATCCCTATTTTTAACTATATGGTTGATGAGCGTAAATTTTAGTGTTATAAATCAAAAGAATATTTTCTTTATAGTAAAATAGCTTTGTAATAGCGCCATCTACTTCATTGTATAGGTAAAGTCATTTTATGGAACAAATAAATCGATTGTCTCTCAAGGTGGTATTTTGTGTAAAATAGATAACCGAAAATTTTCATGAATGAATTGGATATTATGATAATTTTATTCAATATATATTTTATTTATTAAAGAAATTTATTAATATTTTATGTTTATTTTAACAATTAAAAATTTATAGTAACTATTTTTAAAGCACCGCACAAGAAGGAGACATTACAAATTACCTTTTAAAGTGGTAGTGCCATGCTGCAGTTATATTAGTAGTACAGTTGTAGCACGAATGGGTCGACTCGACCGGGGAAGGACCACGCTCTCACAGAGTATCGGCGCAAAATAGTAGCTTAATGTTGTTGTATTTCGTATGGTTCGTGTAGAGAACCGGCGACCCTTTTTACTGGAAACGAGGCATTCCATCTAAGTCCTCACGGGTGACAACGCATCTGCATTTCGATTCGTAATCGAGGAAAGATGTAGATGTCTATGGGCCGCAGCAACCACTTACCATCAGGTGGACTGTGTGCTCGTTTGTCACCTATTCCTATTAAAAAAACTACTAGTGGCAAGTTAAAAATGCTTGTCTTAGGAGTGGTTCACGACAGTACCTTTTCAGTTCGCGGATCACAAAATGCCATTCGGCTACCGTCTCTTACTACTTTGTATTCTAACTCATTCTCTTGCAGGCGAAATGTTCTTCATGAAGAGGTGAAAATTCTTCACGGTATTGATTGTTACATTTCGTCTCTTCGTTGTTTCATCTCCGTAACGGTTACAGCCTATTAAATTCTACTGCTGAACAACCACCGCCCCCATAGATTGCCTCATAGGAAGGAACTAAGGCAAATAATAGTTGCAACGCTTGGCAAGCGGGCTGGCAACCTTAGTTTTTATTTTTAGTTACTAGGAAGATGCTGCGGTCCATCTCCTGATTGTTTTCCTTCTGTCGCCTTTTACGCCACCCACGGGGTGAAATGGGGTAGTAAATACATACATAGAGAGAATGGACTGAGCGTTAGTCTCACAAATGTGACCATTATCTAGAAAGAGACAGAATGACTGTGCGGTCAATACCTGTCTCTATGACATGATTGTTCTTACAGTTGTACATGCAGCGTAGAACGATACACTCCTGACCGCCAATGACGTGGACCAATTAGAGTTCTAGAAAGGGACAACTACTGGCCGCTTTTTCTCTCTCGCACATTCAGTCTATTAACTAAATACAGCACGTACATTCCCTCTGTCTATAAGTATATTCTTACACTACCACTACACTGTTGTTTTGTCTTATCTGCAGTTATTACTCAAGCAGATGTAGCAGCCACGGAAATATAATCCATTATTGTTATCCCCATTCCAGATACTTCGATTCGTGTCCTATCGTGGAAGTCCCGGGTCGCACTTTTCCCGTAGAGTTGTCCTATTTGGAGGACATTCAAAAGAAGTTTCATTTGAAACTACCAATGACCTTGGAAAATTGTACTAAGGAAGATGGCAAACCTCAGATCAACTGTCAAGAAGTAAGATATCTTTCTGTTAAGTGTTTGTTAATGTTCCTAATTGATTGTGCAAGTTATTCAATTTATATCCATCGCAGGTTGTGGACGTGATAAAAGCAGTCGACAAGACCCAGCCGGAAGGCGCCATCTTGGTTTTTCTTCCTGGTTGGGCGGAAATCAAATCGGTGAAAACGCTTTTGGACGAGCAGTTTGCGAATTCTAATCTCCACATGGTGTTGCCAGTTCATTCTAGGTAATTTGTTTTTCTTATCATTAAACATTGTACGTATTTTTTGATGGAGTTTATTGAATATAAATATGAAAGAGATCTGATAATGAGGAAACAAAATAAAACCATAACTACGTGGGCCTGTTCCATTGTTTACTGTCGAAACTGGCAGTTGTTTTATGAACTTTTATTTACAAATTCTCAGATGTGAGCATCTTAGACAGGGAACGATGAGGCTTGAATATATTTACAGATAGAAGTCCTCACAAAAAATAGTGAAGAAAAAAACGTTGAACATTAACACTATAGAGCTGTGATAGAGCACATTACTCGAGCACCTGGGTTCGATCCCCGCCGGCACAATTAAATTGATCGTGTTCGGCGATGAAGGAAAACATCGTCTGAGGAGTAAAATGCTTAGAGGACGTGTTACGTCCGCCAACACGTAGTAACAACTACAAGTAAGCTTCAAATTGAAATGCTTGATGAGGTGGTTGACGTCGATAGTCTAATGGCGGATTCGAATCCGCAACCTTTGAATTTCGCGGTCAATTATCCTTAAGGTGCATGTTAGAGTGAAATGCCGCGCTAATCATTATTTGTGAGGTTTTTAGGAGTTATATACTTGTTGTTAAAAAGATATATCAACTAATAAAAATCTATTAAATTTCTACACAATCTTTATAAAAGCCAATTCTAATTTTTTTAAAGGAGTAAATACTTGATGAATCTCGCTACAAAAATGCGAAATAATTATTGATAACACGCATCTCCTCATAAAGTTACCATTATTTTATTTTGCGATTGACACTAATGGTTAGGCAATTTATTAATCAACCTTTTGATCTATTAAATTTTTTCAAAGGACTAAAATTCGATTTCATAAATAAAATATTTAAAAATTGGGGCATATTTCTTACACGATATATTGTTGCGAGAGCGCGTGGTGTGTAGAAGTATAGACGGACCGAATGCTCAAGGTCGTTCGCCAGGGGTAGCGTCTTAACCATTATCTACTACATAGCTACTGTCGCTTTGCACCATCAATCATTCAAAATTGTGTCTTCATGGGGGAGGACTCTCTTTACTCGTCACATTTGGCAGGTGATGATCGCAGTATCGGATGTGAATGCCTTTGAAGCTGCTGTTGTCTATATAATAAAACTATTAAATCCCGCGTGAAAGAAATATAGCTGATATGGTGCACCCACCGATGCTCCAGGAAGTCTTCAGACTTAACATGTTCAAGATCGTCCCCACCATTACATCAGATTTGATAAACCACAAATCCTTGCAAAAGAACAATGATTCCTACCTGGGATGATACGCGAGGCTATTGAAATTAAAAAAAACATCCTAATTTCAATAGAGAAGATAGATGGGTGCTGTCATGTGCTTGGGCTCCTATAATTAACAAAATTAAATCCAAACCCAAAGATACCACTACAAGACTTCCAAGATACTGTAAGCTCGTTCTGCGTAGATCGGACCAAAAAATAATATATAAAAACTGAAGGTAGCCGGGCCACCGTGCCCGGCTACCTTCGGTTTACGGACATTGGGACGTCAAACATCTCAATCCCCCCCCCCTCTCCGTGACCATCAACCAAATAAAAGGTAGATATATATACGTCTATGAGGCACACCATTCACTTACCATCAGCTCGAATGTAGGCTCGTTTGTCACCATTATTTCCATTAAAAATCGCCACCGAAGTCGATATTTGCGCATTAAAAACCGTGTTTTTCTGTCAGTTGCTTCCCTTTCCATTAAAAAACGGCTGCCCATTCCTTGTTTCAATTTCCTTCTGCCGCCTATTATGACATCCGCGAGATGTTATGGCATAGTGGAATTCTTAGGTCGCTTATGCAAGGTATATTTTCCCAAAAAATGCAATATCTTTCATTCTTCCATTCCTCACAGCCTATAAAAAGTCTACAATTGAACTTACTTCCCCTACAGATTGTCTGGGGGTGATTTTTCCATAGGCCATGCTTGGCCGGTGGAGTGGGAAAGGCAATGTTTTTATTAAAATGTGTAAAGCTTCACGATTCATCAAAGAGAATCGAGCATCAGATCAGAAAAAGGAGATCAAGCATGTGAATCTTGTGCAGTGACCGCGCTTGATTCGGCAGTTATAATACTAAAACTGGAATGTTACAGCGAAATAAAACCTATAATATAATCTATTTATATATACAACGGTCTTTTATTACGCTAAAGGGGTTAATGTCTATCTGTATGTTCGGATTAATCTTCAGAACGGCTGGACCGAGTGTAATGAAACTTGATAACTGATAGAGAGCAATGCCAAGAGTGATCTACGCTATATTTTGTTCGAAAAAATTGGAGGTTATTTTGAGAAATCGAATAATTGATAAAAAATATAACGCCACATTAGTAGATCCTACCCAGGCGAACCAAAAGAAGGTTGCTAGTACCTATATAATTATAATAATTTTTATTTAAATAAAATTTACAATTCAAATAATGTCTTAATTAAAAATAGTCTACAATAACCGGCATCTAAAGTAGGAAAAACCTGTATCTCTTGTGTGTGTGCTAATAGATACATAAAAAAAAAATATTTTCTGGTTTCATATACATATAAAGTTATATAAGATAACAGGCACGTGAACTATGATAAACCTGTAGGTATCTCAGGTGTGTGTGTGCTAATAGATACATTAACAAACATTCTCTGCTTTTTGTATAGAATGAATAACATACCAAATAATTAGGTTTATTTCGGAAAAAAATGTTATTAATAATAATCCACTTAAGCTATTTATTAACTTAAAACAATCAGCAACTTATCCGTATCATCGTATGACAAATTTTGTAATCAAGTTCGAATTACATTTTTAAAACCTGCCATTTTTAATGGATACATGTTCAAAATTGTATTGACTTGATTACACAAAAAAGGGCCGAGGAATGTGAAAAATCTATGCATGAAAGAATGCCTTATTCTAATTTTAGTTTCGATTATTTTTTAATCTTTGCGTCTTTTATTAGTGACCTCTGCAGAGCAATCATAAGTGTTGTTTTAGTACCATACTCATAGCGCATAAGTGGCGCACTGAGAGGACATTATAGGATTTATATAAGAGATGTGACGAGAATAGGATAGGGCGGAATGTGGCGACTTTTAATACAGCTCTTACAGCTTTAATAAATAAATAGATATTACAGTGGTATTATTGCCCTTCCCCATTCGAGCCGAAATATTCGCTCTGTTCGATATCATTTGTTCATATACGCTACACGTGATTTTACCACATATAAAAATTAAAATCGCGGGCCCAATTTTTTTGGATTTTTTATATAATAATGTGACAAACAAGCACACAGTCCACCTGATAGTAAGTGGATGCTGTGGCCCATAGACATCTACATTTATCGTCGATTAAGAATCAAAACGCACATGCCTTGTCACCCCTGAGAACCAAAATGGAATGCCTTATTTCCAGTTAAAAAGTCTCCGGATCTGTACATTCACCATACGAAACAGCAGTATTCAGCTGCTATTTCACGCTGGTATTGGGTGCGTTTGGCAGAAAAAGCGCTAGCAAACGCTTGTAAGCAAAATGGCGATCGTAAGCGATAAGCGCTGTCAAATCGTAAGTAGCTATTTTCCTCCAGGACACGATGTTAGTTTTAACCGGGGAGCCTAACCTAATTTAAATATATGTTTGTAAAGTATTCATATTAAAAACTTACCAATCATGAATTTTTAATAACATGTATATGTCTATTCATGTCATTATATTACTTAAAACTAATATTGCACAAAACAACTTATAGTTTCTACTTCAAAACAAACAAATTAAATAAGCAAAATGGCGGATTGTGTCAGCGCTATTGAAATAGCAATCGTGTCCTGGCCGAAAACTATTTTAGCGCTTGTAAGCGCTTGCTAGCGCTTTTTTCTGCCAAACGCACCCATTCTGTGAGAGCGTGCTCCTTCCCCGGTCGAGCCGACCTATTCGTGCTACAACCATAATATAGCTGCAGTGTGGCTCTACTACTAATGTCACGTTCCACATTCCTCACTAATAATCCTAATAATCACCTTACAGGTTATCGACAACGGAACAAACAAAAATGTTCGCGAAACCGTCCCCCGGCGTAAGGAAGATCGTTCTAGCAACGAACATCGCGGAGACGTCCATAACCATACCGGATGTGATCTACGTAGTCGATACAGGAGCGCATAAGGAGAACAGGATAAAAGAGGGAACAGGTATGTATTTATATATTTATTTTACTAGAAAGTAGTACTAAGTACTAGAGATGGGCCGAATATTCGTTTTATGTTCGGTATTCGGCATATTTGGCAGCTTTACCGAATATTCGTATTCGGCCGAATATTCGGCTAAATCACCGAACATTACTTTTCATAGTGTCCAATATATTGCAATGTACGAATTGAGTAATGCGATTTCTTTTACTGTTGAAAGTATATTATATTTATGGGTTAAATATACTTACTCTAGAGTGCCTCAAATGCATTAATCTATACATTTATGTTTTTGAGGAACTGTAGATTTATTTCCGATTATGGCAAATAGAAACTTGATAAAATGTTTTTGGAATCGAACAAAGAAACATTACGTTACACTAGTACATTTTACTATACTTTGGTCGTCAGTTTCTCTAAAATAAGTCCAAATAGTAAATCTCCTGCCGCTCTTTTTTATCACAAGAATAGTCAAAACATAAGCATGTGCCGGCAATTTGCTCAGTACTAGATGAAGCAATAACATGTCAGGTGTGGCAGGGGAGCGAGGGGGAAGGCTTTGACGCTAATCCCGCGCGCTTTTCGGTAACAAGTTTCAACATAAATTGGTTGGGTACCGAGGTGACCCTGCCGAATAATGTTCGGCCGAATATTTGCTTCGGTAAAAATTTTACCGAACATTCGGCCGGATATTCGTATTCGGTGAAATCCACATTCGGCCCACCCCTACTAAGTTTCCCCTACTCAGTTTCGGTTAGAGTCTGTCTGGGTTCATACCACTTTCTTACCCAATCTGCCGCCAAATATAATTACTTGCATTGCTGTGTACCGGTTTGAAGAGTATAGAGAGCCAGTATAACTACAGGCTGTGAGGTATTCCATCTTAGTCCTCAGAGGTAACAACGCAGCAATAGCCTTCTTTGTTTGGAGTTGGTTCCAGGTGTCCATGGGATACAGTTGCCACTTACCATCACGTGAGTACTGTACTGTACTGTAGTTTCTTTGTCACTATGGTTTAAAATAATCATCATAATCATCATCACATTATAATTACACTGTTGTACGTAGGTCTCTTCCAATGTCTACAACAGCAAACGGTCCTGAGCGACTTTTATATTACGTTTTTTATAACAGTGTGTATTTCGCAAAATAAAGGGTGACACATAGTCTAATTTCGGAAGCGTTTAAAGAAGTTTTTAATAACTAAAATACAATTAGATTACTACGTCTCACTGAATTGGAGGTGGCTTTAATAATGAGTAATATTCAAAGAGTCCGTTCGTATGCAGATATTGGACTCATCAACTTAGTTCTAGGATCTTAAATAAAAATGCTAATGTATTAGTTTTATTGCTTAGTGTAAATAATACAATATTATATATTTTAATATCTTAGTCTAAAACAGAGGGTCGGGGTGTATCTATAACAGTATCGGCACTCTGTACAAGCAAAAAAGATATAAATAAATAATAATAAATAATTTTTATTTCATTTTCAATTACACATGTTTACATACAGGAACAAATATGATCAAAAATAACAAGCAATACAATACAATACTCTTTATTGTACACCAACAAAACATAAATATAACAAATAATGAACAATGGGGGAAAAAACAAAAGGCGGTCTTATTGCTACATAGCAATCTCTTCCAGGCAAACCAGAAGAGGAAATTAATAAAAATAAAAATAAGATTAACGGGTAGGTGCACTGAATTAGACAAAAAAATACAAACTTATATACTATAAAATGACAACATACTTTAGGTATAAGAGTGACCATAACTAAGAGGAGGGAGAGAGAGGAGTTAAAGAGACAAATAGTGTTCTTTAATCTGATTCTTGAACACATTTAATGATTGAGCACTTTTTACTGGGGTAAGGAGTTCCAGAGTCTTACTCCAAGAACAGCAAAAGATTTATTATAAAATGTCGAGGAGGGTACAGGACATTGGAGCGAAATGTTTTCTTTGGACCGTAAGGAAAACTCGTGAAAAGAGCTAAGAAATTTAAAACGTTCTTTTAGGTAGGGAGGACCTGATACATTAAATAAAACGCAGTAGAGCGCAGAAAGTATATGAGTATTCCGACGAAGACAGATTGGGAGCCATTTGAGTTTAGTGCGGTATTCCGAGAGAGACATGGTCATATTTACGAAGCCCAAATATGAACCGTATACAGAGATTTTGGAGTCGCTCAAGTTTATTAAGTTGCTCCTCGGTGATATCAAGGTAACAAATGTCAGCATAGTCGAGGATAGGGAGTAGCAAAGATTGTGCAAGCGTAATTTTGGTGGAAATGGGTAAAAAGTAGTTAAGCCTCCGGAGTGAAGCATAAGCCGCAAACATTTTTCGGCTCACTGCATTAATTTGGGGTGTCTAAGAAAGACTGGAATCCAAAAGAATACCTAAATTTTTTACTACTTCATTATATGGAATAAGGATACCATTAAATACAACGGGTTGACATTTTTTAATTTTGGAAATAGTTCTTGAACTCCCAATAATTATAGCTTGCGATTTTGAAGGGTTAACCGTCAACTCATAAGATCATATCCAGTCGAAAATAAAAGCCAGATCCTTGTTGATACATTCAGCAGCTTTGGGAAGATCTTCGATGGTTGTGTGTAAATATATTTGAAGGTCATCTGCATACAAGTGGTAGAGAGAAGACATTTGGGATGTAATTGTATTAATAAAGATTGCGAATAAAAGAGGAGATAAGACACCACCTTGTGGAACGCCAGCTACGGTATCAAGCCACGAAGAAAGTTATCTTGGACACGGATACGTTGCCGGTGCCCATGCAAGTAACAATGAAACCAGGAAATTGCAGTTGGAGATATGTTAAGAGAACGCAGAATCCCTAACAGGATATCATGATCAATAGTATTGAAGGCATTGCTGAAATCCAGAAAAACCAATACTGTGACTTGATGATACTCCATACCATGACGAATGTCGTCGGTGATTTTTAATAACGGCGTAGTCGTAATATGACCAGATCTAAAGCCAGATTGGAGAGGACTAAGGATGTTATTTCTTAAACAGAAGGAATTAATTTGTTGTTGGACAAGGCGTTCTAAAACTTTGGAAAGGAAAGGAAGAATTGAAATAGGACGATATTCAGAAAAACTTGAAGGATTTGCTTTTTTAGGTAAAGGTATGATTTGGGCGTCTTTCTATTGGGAAGGGAAAGAAAATGAGGATATAGAAAAGTTTATGATATGGGTTATAATAGGTGTTAAAAAGTTCAACAAGGGAATAATCATTTTACGACTGACATCATCAATTCCGACAGCGTCGGAATGGATAGAGAGTATGTGTTTCCTAATATCACAAGCAATAATGAAAATTAAAACTATGTGTAGCTTAATAATATAGAATCTACAAAAGAAAAATTGAGAAATCAAGCTTATAATATTAGCTACCTGCCTGAACCAGGTTGAGTACCTGTGTTTCAGACCATCATATGCGACTGTCGACCCCCACATTACTCAAGAATTATTAGAATTCCGAAATTCAATCAACATATAAATATAAGACATTCAGTTGATTGAACCTTTTTTTAAGTCTACAAAAATCATAGTGCAACACGGGCCACGTGGCGAATCGAAGGGGAGTAGCCTAAGTAGTATAAAGGTCACAGCTCATTAGAGCCAACGGCACCCGGCCATCACCGCCTCGTCGCCAGGCGTCCACTCGTAGTCGACAGGTGGACCACGGGTGGACGCCGCGTTATCACCTGTGAACCTTGCGTGGTGATCAACGAGTGACCCTTAAATCATACAATAAATTATACTTCCGAACTTTTTCTATAGGTTTTTCTTTGTTCATTTTAAAAACAAACAACAATGCATCCGACACATTCGAAAGAAAGGCTCGAAATGAAGGGTTGTTGGAGAGCGCCGCATCGCACTCGCGTGAACCGCGCGTTGCCAGCTCGCGCTTCACGCGAGGCAAGCATGCCAACAGCGAGCTATCATCGAGTGGTCCACTCGCAGTCCGCGCGTGGACACCTCGCGTGCGAGGCGATCCGGTGATGGTACGGAGTTGATGTAGTGAGCGCAGACCCATACAAGTCCATACGAAGAATAGGAACCGCTCGAGGCGAGGCGGTGAGGGTCGGATGCCGGGTGGCTCTAATGAGCTGTGACCTTTAGTCCACGCGGTCCTATGCGTACAATAAAACTAATTGCAGCCGCACTGCTCACTACAATACGGGCGTGCTCTAATATACTCTGTGACCGCTCTAAGGTATGAAGTCATTTCAGCATACTGTAAAACCGTTCCTTTTTTAGCTTGCTATACTGGTCACTGTTTAAAACAGTCCAGTATACTCTTCCATTTTTCGACACTGTTTTCTAATGTAAATATTTATCATGTACACGTTTTCGGTTCTACAATAAAAAAATATTATTTGATTGTTGTTGCTTTTAAAACTTAATATCCAGGTTTATTGAAATAACTATATTAATTAATAATAATGACAATCATTCGTGGAAGCTTTTAAATCTCTAGGCGCTTTTATGTTTTTTGATCACATGAATAAAGTACCGAGAGCATCTTACCTCGCAAGCGGCAGTACTCACAATACATAAATAGCAACGATTTATGACTTCATATATTTCCTAAAACTAAAGCCTAAAACTAGTTGCGCGGCTGAATCGACGTCCTCCGGTACGACGGTACGACCCCTGTTGCTCTATGAAAAAACCAGTGGTAATTTTATACTATCACGGTCACCTCGTTATTTGGCTTTAGAAAATCGAAAAATCATCCGATTTCGATGAATTTTTTTTTTAAATCTTCGTCTTTGCGGCAGATTTATGGAAAAAATATGGAAAATATCTCACCTCAAGATTTCATATAGTTTTATGACTTTAAATGTGATCATAAACGCACTTCTTCGAATATAATCGTTCATAACATTTTTACAAAGCGTTAAACGAAGTTTGTATATTTTTATTGTTAATCTACACAAAAAAACAAATGTTTAAAAAAAGCATTGAAAAATATTTGTTTATTAATTTTTTTTATCTCTGTTTAAGTTTTTGACTTTAAATGTTATCATAAACGCTCTAGAAAATCGAAAAATCATCCGATTTCGATGAGGTTTCTTTTTAATTCTTCGTTTTTACGGAAAAGACCATAATGAAAAGAATTAATTATGTATTATATTCAAAAATAAATCAATAGCATATAATATTATCCTCGAAAAAATCTTGTAACAAAATAAAAACATTATGCAATCTTTGACAGTGATTGCTATATCTTAATCTAAATAATGCACATTTAAATTTTTTTAAAAAAAATCACATAATAATGTTTATTTATTACATTTTTAGCGAAGCGAGCTCGGGACTTAGGGCATCCCGAGCTCGCTTCTAAAAATTTAATCCGAGTTAGAAGGACAGGTTAGGTTAGAAGGAGATGGCGGAGTCGAGTGAGCGAGCGAATGGACTCCGCCATCTCCTTCGTGATTATTTTTTTATAAACCACTCAAAAGTAGGACTGCTTTGCGGGGCTCCGTCGACCGGGCTTCCCTCGACTGCGCTACGTTGAGTGGCGTGGTGCTTCCCTCCCCCAACTCTCTCCCGTAGCGCAGTCGAGGGAAGTCCGGTCGACGGAGCCCCGCAAAGCAGACCTCCTACTTCTGTATGGTTTATAATTAATAAACAAACACTTTTTAATTTTTTTATTTAAAATGTTTGTTTTTTTGTGTAGATTATGAAAAATAAAATTAATTCGATTATCATATATATATATATATATATATATATATATATATATATATATATATATATATATATATATATATATATATATATATATATATATATAAACAACTTCATTCGATTATTTAAAAAAAAGGTTTCATCAATTATAAGTAAATGAGTGCATTTTTATGAACATTTAATACCCTGAAACCAATATAAATTTTCATGTTTTTTATTCTTGTAATTTTTTTCATAAATCCGCCGTAACAATGAAGATTTTAAAAAAATTCATCGAAATCGGATGGTTTTTCGATTTTGAGAGCCAAAAAGCGAGGTGACTGCGATAGTATAAAATTACCAAATCAGTTATTATAACCATATGAAGTTAGTATAATATTTATTTACTTAACTCTTTATCTAAAATATCAACTTTCTCAACCCTTTCGCAGGTACGGCGAGCTTGGAAACTGTGTGGGTGTCCCAGGCTGGCGCGAAACAGAGGACTGGACGTGCTGGAAGAGTGCAACCAGGTTAATTGACAAATACCAAAATATTTTGTATAGTTTATGCTTATTTCAAGGTCATATGAACGTCAAAACTTACTACTTACAATAGTAGAGGTCTAGCTTTCTATGATTTTATATATAACATGTGGTAAAGTTCAAAATTTTGTACAACCGACTTCAATATAAATGAAATGAGAATATCATCAATGTGGTTGAAGTCATCAGATCATTATATGCATTATTAACGATAACCAAAAACTACTGTTCAGATCTTGATAACATTTATAGGACCACATGAGAAGCACCAGCTTTCAAATAAAAAAACATCATCAAAATCGGTTCACCTAGAAAAAAGTTCAGAGGTAACCCACACAAAAAATACAGTCGAATTAAGAACCTCGTCGTTTTTTAAAGTCGATTGTAAAAACGTTACCCCATATTCACTATGCATTGATGAGCTTCAAATTTTTAAGGTATTTTTTTCAATGCATCATTTTACGTGATAGAGCCATACTACAGCTATATTATGGTTGTAGAACTAATGGATCGGCTCTAGGAAAGGACCAGGCTCTCACAGAATATCGACGTGAAATAGCAGCTTAATGCTGTTGTGTTTCTTATGGTGAGTGTAGTGAACCGTGTGATGACAACGCATCTGCATTTTGATTCGTAATCGTGGATAGATGTAGTAGATGTCTATGAGCCTCAGCATCCACTTACCATGAGGATTGTGTGCTAGTTTGTCACCCTTATACTATGAAAACAACAAAACCCAGTTGCTGATAGTTCGGTTTTCCATTCTATATTAATTTTAAAAGTTATTTGTAATTAATTTTAAAAGTTATTTAATTTTAAAAGTTATTAATTTTAAAAGTTATTTGTAATGTTAATTTTAAAAAATTACTAAAAAGAGTATGTGCGGAATTTTTTCTCGTTTTTTTTTCTCCCGGTTAAGGAACGTCGCGTACCGTTTAGTAAATTTAAAAAAAATTACTTTATTTTCTTATTTTAAAGAGGAATTTTATTTCCATTCATTTCTCACTAAATCGTAGCGGACACCATAATTAATCAATTACTATATCATGTAATTTGAAATTGCTATCTTTTTTATTTTATATTGAAAAAACGACCAAGTTTGAAAACTAGTGTTTTAATAAGATTTTTACCTATTTAAAAATATACAAATAAGATGATGACGCATGCTCGCATACATACATGCTCATACAATTTCGTTAGAAACGTTTGTGTTGATAACTCTTAAAGCATTGAATTTGAAGAACTCAAATACCCATTTAAAATGAAATATCTATAGTAAACTTTTAAATGCTAGACGCGGGATCGAACTCATGTTGCTGTCGTATTATAATATTTAAGCCGCTTTCCCTGCTCCTGAGGCTCAGCAGACTTTTCTTTAGATGTTGCAATTAGTTTTTTTACGTGGTAGAGCCATGCTGCAGTCATATTAGTAGTATAGTTGTAGCACGAATGGGTCGGCTCGACCGGGGAAGGACCACGCTCTCACAGAATACCAACGTCAAATAGTAGCTTAATGCTGCTGTGTTTCGTATGGTGAGTGTAGAGAACCGGAGACCCTTTTTGCTGGAAACTAGGCATTCCACCTAAGTCCTCACGGATGACAACGCATCTGCATTTTGTTTCGTAATCGAGGACAGATGTAGATGTCTATGGGCCACAGCAACCACTTTCCATCAGGTGGACTGTGTGCTCGTTTGTCATCGTATCCTATAAAAAAAGATTGATTTTCAACCGACTTCAAAAAAAGGAGGAAGTTCTCAATGAGGGCTAATAATCTTTCGCCCACCAGATGTCGCTAGTTGACACTAAGGTGAAGTTTTTTTTCTACACAATACCATTTCATTAATAAGTTAGTTTTAATATAAGTTTATTAGTTTCTAAAAATTATAAATACACAAAATAATGCCTCAATGGTTTGTGCTCACTGACCTCTATATATACAAGTACGCTGGACTGGCTATACCATACAAAATGACTGTGCCAATTTGAAGCGCCGCTAAAGGATGTCTTGAAAAATAAAATTGACATAATATGCCAAAGTCTGTTGTCTTATTTATATTGTCATATTTAAAAAAATCTGTATTTTGAACTTTTAAACTAAAAAACGAAAGTATTTTATGTTGTTTGATTGTGTATAATATTAGTTACATAATAAGAATTATTTTTATTAATAATGAGAGTGTGCGTAATCTGTAAAACTCGTTACCAAAAGGGAAGTGGTGTAACATTTCACAAGTAAGTGAATTTATAATAGTGAATAGTGAATTTTAAATAAATAAAAATTATTTGATAATATAAGTACTTAAAAATTTGTTACTAATCGTAATATCATTTATACTGTATATTACTGAGTTTTGATAAACAATAAAATTCAATAGGGTTGTCGAGTTCTTTGTATATAATACTTATCGATGTTCTTTCCTACCAAAATCTGTTAATAAACAAAGTCACCAACAACAGATGATTATCAAATTTTTATTAATTAACAGGTTGCCAACTGAACCTAGACTCAAATTATGGCTTAAAAGCATAAATATTGTGTAATTGGCGTCCGACACAAAATGATCATATTTGTTCCAAACATTTCACAGACGACTGTTTTATTAGACATGAGAACTGCACCACTTTGAAAAAGTTCAGTATACCGACAATATTTTATGGTAATACCAGTACCAGTAAGTATAAAAGTATTAGATTATTATTTAGAATGTTTTTTATTTCTTCTTTCCCAATTTTCCACCAAACTCAAGGGCCATAGCCAAGTGTCAAAAGGTCGCCTGATGATGTCGAGCTACGTTGGATGTGTGTTAGTGGGCTGCGGCTAGAGGAGATTCCTCTTCCTGTACCACTGTAGTCGAGGTGGAGTAGTAAGGAAAGAGGAGTGTTGGTATGGCATTGGCAATTGGCGATGCGCCACTCGACTGTCTTTCGCGACTTTGGTGAGACTGCACCACTTGATGCTTCGAAGTGCTCGTTTTTCCCTAGCTCCATTCACATATCGGGCTCGGGGAGTCCGTAGTGCAGGTGGAGTTAGAGGCCGCGAAGGGCAGTGTGGCTTGTGTTTCTGGTGCGCCTTATCTGAGAATGAAATCGGGGAGGAGAAGTCAGCAACTAAGGAGGGGCTGTCATTGGGCGGCTGGCGCCAGAGGGGCCGCGGATGTACATGAAAGCGTTTCCAAGGCCCTGCCAATTTGCGGTGGAGGTAGAACACCATGGGGTTTTAGTAAGCGCGATCTAGAGATTTAATTCTCTCTCAATTGCAAGCATGTAATATATCATACACAATGCACACCAGTATGTATGAGTACATATTTGTGCTATTTGCTGTAGAGACTATTGGTCCGTAGGGTGCACGTGCGGTGTAGTTCCTAAAAAACTGTATCTGCGACGGATCATCGCTGCTGGTAATAAGAAGTTGTTTAGTTTGTTGCTTCCTCGCTTGAAGGCTAAGTATAGCCATTCAGAGATGACACGTAGCCGGCATTCTTGGGACGATACCACGGAAAGTAGGACTGTATGATAATATCAGTTATTTTTTTTTAATATTGTAATTTTAATTTCGAAAATGACGATGTAAATAACTGATAACTATGTAATTCAAAGTTTATATATATATATATATATATATATATATATATATATATATATATATATATATATATATTGATATATATATATATAATCAATATATATATATATATATATATATATATATATATTGATTATATTATATATTAATTATCTAGCTCGTACCCGGGGCATTGCTGCCGCAGAAGAAATAATTGTGAAAATATCGTTAAAAATGTGGAAGAGTTGTATTGTATAATTAGGAATGATAATACAATCATTGAAATAGAATGATATATAACTTTCTATAACTTTCAAATAAATAGTCAGTATAATACGCACGCCACCTAGTGTCAGTTAATTGTACCATGCGTATAACCTTTGCACAAGTGCAACCAATGGGTTGACTAAGTTTTACCGCAATCTGATGAACGGTATGGCATCGTATAAAGTACGAACACGACAAATAGTCCGAGCAGGTAACTTAAACTTCGACCGAAAGGTCAATCGACGGATTCAACTCGGCTGAGCAGCGTTCGAGAGATTACAACACATCTTCTTGTCAGGAATACCTCAAAACTAGATTGTACAACAAGTCCGTGTTGCCAGTGATGACTTATGGATTTGAGACGAGGTCTTTCACTGCTGGCCGTATGAGGAAGCTTGAAGTCGCTCAGCGTGCTATGAAGAGGGCAATGCTCAGGGGTTCAAACTTAGTAATGAGGATATCTGCAGCAGAATCAGAGTGATCGACATCGACCAATGGATTAGTAAGCTGAAGTGGCAATTGACCGGCCATATAGCTCGAAGAACCGAATACCGATGGGGAAAAAGGAAAAAAGGGAGTGGCAGCCTCGTACCGGCAGGTGAAGTGTAGGACGTTCCCCCCACTAGATGGAGTCAAAACCTGGTAAGACATATAGGAAGTTGATGGATGCAGGTAACTCAGGACCGTGCTTCGTGGCATTCCTTGGGGGAGGCTTATTTTCAGCGGTGGACTTGTGAAGGGTTTTAATGATGATGAATGATAATTGCATTATATTAATATGATACATAAATAGAATGGACGTTACGGGTAGAGTCAATTCTATTTATTTAGAATTTTTATCGATATAATTTGATACACTGTCTTATCACTATTATTAGTTCCGTGGACAAGCACTTCTGCTGTCAGCGCCAAAATGGCGGAAATCAAATCGCTTCATCATGTCACGGTGTATGGCCAGTCCAGCGTACTTGTATATATAGACGTCAGTGTTTGCGCTATAATTTTTTGTACATTTTTGACTTTTTTCTTAACTTATCTACTTTTAAGAATACCTGTGGTTTGGTTTACTTATTTTTAATCTAATTAATATAAAATATTACTAATAGTACGGAAAGAAACATTAATCTTTACATTTTTCGAACAAATAACTTCGCCGCTATGAAATCTGTCAAGTATACGCCTCATTTTTGGGTATGTTCCGAAATACAACGCAGTGTACTGTCCAATGCAAATGACGTCATGAATCGACGCTATACTGGTGATTCGTTCCAAAACATTGGACAGTATATGACGTCATACTTTTGCGCCATTTGGAAAAGTGTTGGCGATTATTTTGTCATTTTGTGCTCCAAAAATCATTATATCCTCCTAATGGATATACTATCAATTATTCTATAATTTTTTGTATTTGAATAAATAGAAACAAATTCTGGCGTGCTTCATTCGGCAAACACACAATTAAAAATTGTTTTATTATAGCCGGATATCCGACACAATATGGCGGCGGCACGCCAGTACAATATAATGTCAGTTGATGACGTTATTAGCATTTAACAGTGTACTGTGTTGTATTTCGGAACATACCCTTTATATGACGCCGCCCTGGGTGGTCATTCGACTGTATTTTTTTGTGTGTTACCTCAAAACTTTTTTCTAGGTGAACATTTAATTTTGATGATTCTTTTTTTATGTGAAAGCTGGTGCTTCTCATGTGGTCCTATATAAATGATAATATGATTAGGATCTGACCTGTAGTTTTTGAGTTATCTTCGACTTGGACTGCATTGATGATGTTCTCATTTTATTTACATTAAAGTTGGTTTTAAAAAAAATGTAATTTTACCATACTAGTTTTGACGGACAAAGTTGTGATCTAATATTGCAATCAAATCCTGTTTTTCATATGTTAATGACGATGAAAATCTTATGATATTTTTGCAGGTCATTGTTACAGAATGTACACGAAAGAGAAAGAAGCTGGTTTCACTCCTCACACGACGCCTGAAATATTAAGGTACATATTGTGCTTATTGATTATTAGATTAATCTTTCAACCACTTACTATCAGGTTTTTTTTTATAGAATGAGGGTGACGAACGAGCACACAGTTCGCCTGATAGTAAGGGTCAACGTTATTCTAAAATAAATTACCATATCATTTACACTAGACGTAAAATACCTAGACCAGCGATGAGCAATAGCACGAAAGGTGCGAGAAGTCTAGTACATCGTCAATTAATTTGCCAAGCATGACGTTTAACATAAATCCTTTCTACAACGGGAGAGATCCATGTATAACTATGACCTTTTTCGGGCTGATGGAAAAAATGGCATAAAAAAGTTTTCATTTAATATAGATTACAAGTAGTTCAGTATAAGTTAAATTCTTATTAAAAGTCGGTTTTTTTTGATTACTTTCGCCACTGGTTCGGAAAACCCTTCTGTCTTGGGAACAACCAGCATCAAACCAAGCGAAATTATACCATAACTCACAGATTGTACAAACAGCTTCGAAGCAACCACCTCATTCCCTTTTTATATAGTTTTTGTTTAATAAAATTATTTAAACTTGGTAAAAGACAGAGCTTGTATATCTTCTGGGACTTTTTTATAAGATCTTATACATTGCCCCATGACTCTGTGGAGTCGAAAGTAGAGAATAACCATTAATCAAACACCAATCTATAGTGATTCATTTCAGAATACCCCTGGAACAGACAGTACTGGACTGTAAAACGTATGCCCCGGATGATAAGGTTGAAAATTTCCTATCGCAACTTCCAGAACCCCCCAGTAAGAAATCTATACAGTTGGCGGTTAACGATCTAATTGATTTAGGTAAGTGAATTCGATGACTGCTCTCTAGTTGTTTTTGACTCGATAATTTTACTGTCAAAATTATAGCGTAACTTATGGATTTCCCTTATAATTCTCTTTTTCGGCAGGAAACACTGCAATTTTCATTCGTTCAGCCAAGAAATTCTAAGGCCATTTTGTTCTGAGAAAGTAATCTTGCATGATACATTTAGCGTTATAACAAACTAGCTTGTTCTGCAAACGTTGGTCTGCCCATACCGATAGGTGGCTTGGTAAGCTTCATTCCGAATTCATTGTCTATTAGGGTATTTTGCATTTACCGCTATCAGCCGTAAGATTTATTGGCGTTTCATGGTCTCTTACGACATCCACGAAGTGTAATTGGGTCTTAAATTCTTTAATACGACTTACAAACAGTATTTCTGGTTACCGTTACCTCGATAGCCCAAAATAAACATGTGCCTCCCCCATAGTTTACCTCGTGGGGGGATATTTGCCAAAGTTGGCACACTTTGCAAGCGGTTTGGCAGCCGCAGTTTATTTTTAGTTGTTATTAGAAAGATACTGATCTGTTTTCCTCTGTCGCCTCTTACGGCACTCATGGGAATATTTCTGCTGCGTAGTTGGGCGTAATAGAATCCCGGACCCCTTCTCATCCCGTAGGTGTCGTAAGAGGTGTCATAGGCAAATGAAATTGGAGATGGCAGTAGCATGTTCCCAATAAAATTTCAGTTTAAGAGAAAACCAAAGATTTGTCAGTTACAAAGCTATTCATATACAAATGTTTAAGGAGATATCACCGATTAGATATTCCCAAATTGCCAGTAACGGGATAGAATAGAAAGTTTCGTATCGTCAAATATTATTCAATCACAACAAATAAAAATGTAATAACTTAAAAGTGGTATAGAATAGAATAGAAATTATATTTATTTTCTCATCACAAACAAGTACAGTATTATTGATGACAAACATGTTAAACTATAAACGTATTGAACCCTGGTTTGTGAGGGACTGGTGCCTAATAAAGTTATTAAACAATACCTATTCTATAGGTCACCAGGTCCCTTCTCACGGATTGTACATCTTAAATTACACGTTTTTATAGCATATTGAAGACATCATTATTTTCATTTTATTTGTTATGAGAAAATCGACATGCTTCGTAAATTGAAGAATAATATAACAAAGCGTAACAATTAATTAAATTATACAGATACTATATTTTCGGCAACGCACCCGCAATTCTCCTGGTGTTGCGAGTTGATCATGGGCGACGGTAGTCACTTACCATCAGGTGAGCCGCATGCTCGTTTGTCCCCTTCTTCTATAAAAAAAAAAAAAATAAAGATTAAATTACATAATAATGTTATAATTATATATAATGTGCGTGATATTAAAGTTGAGGATGTAAGAAACTTTCAGTGGATTCGTATGTTAAAGATTTGAGCCAGTTTATTGTATTTTTTCTACACTCGTGTTCAGGAAGAGGATATATAGATAGCAGCCTATTTATTTTGTGGTATAAGTAATTACTGAGATAGGTATAGTGTCTCTTGGCTAAGCTGGATTTAACCGTCTTTGAAGGACATACTTTGTCCTTTCTTCTTTTTGTGGTGCTGAGTTTCGGATCGTAATCCACTTCGGAATGCTTTTTGTTATTATTTTTAGAATAAATATTTGCCTAACGGTGAACACATCCCATAACCTGTACAGCTCACACAGTATAAATACATCCTAACAAATTTAATAATGCTTATAAAGCAAAATAGGTAAAGATAAAGATATATTTATTTACAAAAACATGTGTAGATAATGATAATGATGAATGAGATAATGATACATTTAATGTTTATTATTGGTCTGAATTTTCTAATTTTGGATCAACATGTTTTACCAAAGTTGGTGTACAAATCAAATTCTCTACATGGTAGAGCCATGCTGCAGCTACATTAATTGTACAGTTTTAGCACGAATGGCTCGGCTCGACCGGGGAAGGATAACGTCCTCAAAGAATACCAGCGTCAAATAGCAGCTTAATACGTTCTGTTATATTTACAACGAGCGTTAACCATCTAAGCTGCCACTGCTTTTTTATGTGTGTTACCTCATAAGTTTTCTTTGGGTACCTAATTTTGATGATTCTTTTTTTATCTGAAAGCTGTTGCTTTTCGTGTGGTCTCGTACAAATTTAAGATCTGATGCAATTTTTGAGTTATCTTTAATAATGCGTATTTAATTGACTTCGAATACATTGATTCGGTCGTATTGAAATCGGTTGTATATTTTTTTTAATTTTACCACTTGTTATTACAGGAGCTCTATCGCCATCAGAGAACCTCACGCGTTTGGGAAGTTTACTGTCGACGATGACACTACATCCCCGGCTGGGCTGCTGCGTGCTGCACTCTGCTGTACTTGGCAACACTGTAGCCGCGGCAAACGTTGTCACACACTGCTCGGATAATGTCGAGTTGTTTGTAAACGCCGCCGACAGGAGGGAAGGTAGACAGAATAAACTAAAAGATCAATATAAACCCCCATAAAAGAACACATAGCTGACGTGGAGGATCGACATTCCAGAAAGTCTGCAGTCTGTGAACATGTACAGAATCGCCGCCCGTCATTACATCAGTTTTGAAAGACCACAAATCCTCGCAAAAGAACACCAATTCCTAACAAACATTATTTACCAGGTTATTGAAACTATAGGGAACATGGCTGGATGGTACCATCTTCTTGAGATCCTATTTATACATAAAAATAAAATGAAATGCGTGTGTGTGTACCATCAACATAACTGCAAGCAGATTGATCTGAGGGGGTTATTTGCATGTTTTACGTGGTAGAGCTACGCTGCAGCTATATATTAGAGTTGCAGCATGAATGGGTCGGCTCGACCGGGGAAGGACCACGCTCTCATAGAATACCAGCGTCAAATAGCAGCTTAATGCTGTTGTGTTTCGTATGGTGAGTGTAGAGAACCGGAAACCCTTTTTACTTCATCTTAGTCCTCATGGGTGGCCAACGCATCTGCATTATGATTCTTAATCAAGGATAGATGTATGTCTAATAGACATATATCTATATACATTGTCTACGTAGTATCCACTTACCACCAAGTGGACTGTGTGCTCATTTGCCACCCTTTTACTATAAAAAATAATTAAAACATGAATAACTATTTTTAAAACTATAATATTTTTTCTTCGGAATGGCTGAACCGATTGTAATGCAACTTAACGGAGAGATTGAGAGCAACACCAAGAGTGATCTAGGCTATATTTTATTTGAAAGTTAGAGATTTCAAAAAATAGTAAAGTAAAGACATTCCATCTTAGTCCTCACGGGTGACAACGCATCTGCATTTTGATTTGTAATCGAGGATAGATGTAGATGTCTGTGGGCCACAGCAACCACTTACCATCAGGTGGACTGTGTGCTCGTTTGTCACCCTTATTTTTATCCTATATAAAAGTTACTTTCGCTTATCATAAATATAAATATCGCCACATTTACAAACCCTACACAGGTGAAACCGGGAATCTATTGCGGATAAATACTACAGTTAAGAGGATACCTTGAAAATGAATCGTAGTTTTGGGGGCGTGGCTTATCCCTTTGTCGGTGAAGCTCACGGAATGACTGAGGGAGAGTCAAAATGTAAAGTAATGCAATGACTTCATAATACGTAAATTATGAGATAGCTATACCGATTACGCGCTTAGAAAAAAACTAAGTAAGCGCCAAACAAAATGTTTTTTTTTTAACAAAACTTTATGGATTAAAAAATGGTTTATGAAAACTTAGATATGATTGTTTACTATACTTTAAAAATAATTCCATATCTTATTCGTAAAAATATTGTGGTGGCATGGAGAAATGTAACTAATTAGAGTTTACTTTGCAATTTTTTTCTATCGATAAAATTACATGTTTTCCTTTTATAAAATCCAAGGTGAAATACCAAAAATTTTCGAAGTATCACATTAATAAAATTCAAACCCAAGTCAAGTATACCACTGCAAGACATCAAGATACTACTAGTTCATTCGGCGTAGATCGGACCAAAAATTAATAATTTTAAAGTAAAGGTTAAGCTGTGGTTAACTATGATATGTCGGACACCTCAGTCCCTCTGACTTGTAATGTAAAGTACCCGAAACTTCGGGAATGTAAAAATAATTAAACGCAGTCGCAAATCTGTATTGGAAGATGCGTTATCACTCCTGAGGACTAAGATAGAATGCCTCGTTTCTAATAAATAAAGGTCAAAAACGCAGAAGTTTCGTTAGGTATGTATTTGTTGCGGAAGTGAAATTGGAAATTTTTCTCTTTTCAGTAATCTCTTTACGCAGTCGTGTTTCTAACTACTCTTTTAAAACATTGAGCTTTACAATCAACCTCTTTTAATGTAGTCATCACAACATATAAAAATATTACATCTGTTTTTCTAAAAACATTGCTTCATTTTTTTTTCAGAAACCCGGGAAATCAAGCGTAGATACAACGAAACATCGGACCACGCTGCCTTGCATTGGATACAGGACGAATTTGAACGAAATCTGGATGAGAAGGGTTGGAGCGGTATCGACGTATGGTGCGATGATCTGGGTCTGAGGAAGGACAGGCTGAACTATGTCAAATGTAAGTATCGTCGATATTTTAATGGTGTGCTCGTGGTTTGGTAGTCAGAACACCTGGCCTAAAGTCTAAACCACAGGTCCTGTTTTGGAATCCGAGCTGGAGCCAGCATTAGTATAAAAATATTTAATAGTAATTTTCTGGTCTAATCGTGATGCACTTGTCTCCGTTTCTCTAAAACTGCATACTAGGACGTATCCTTATGCTCTCACCCTTATCCTTCTCCTTCCGCTTTTCCTCCTCTCCCGACTCTTCCTTCATCTTTCCTCCGTCTTTATATCTACTTCTCCTCCTCCACCTGCTTCATATTTCCTCCGCCTTTAAAACCTTTTACCCCTTCTTTGCCCCACCCTTCCTTTCTCCTGCTATCTTATCGCATAAGTGTTACTTCGGAGACGGAAGCGTTTTTCGTCGTACGTAAGCAAACACAATGTGAACGTTACGAACCGCAATATTGAGCGACCGTTGCGAAAAGGGTCCATGCGACAACTTTACTACGTGTGTGTGCGTGATGGAAAGTATTTTAATGGAATACTCGCTTATTAAATATAATACATATTTATATTATATGTACTGCAAATAAAAATACAGTGCCGTGTATTGGCGGTCCAAACAGTCGATGGATACAGGTGGCTCAGGATAGTCTTTAGTGACGTTTCTCGGTGTCCTCTGTTCGGCAGTGGACAACTTGTGAGGGGTTGTAATAATGATGATGATGATAGACATCGCCATCTATCGGATGCTGTAATATCTTCATCAAATTCTTGATACTAACGTCTACATGTCTGTATGGAAATATATAGATAGATAGATAGATAATTCTTTATTGTACACCAAATCAATACATAAACGAAAGAAGAAGAAAAAAATAGTGTCACAATGGGCGGTCTTATCGCTAAAAGCGATTTCTTCCGGACAACCTTATATATAGCGCCCGGTGGAAAAAGCTAGCCGACTTAAAAAAAAGGTTATTAATTCAACCATATGTTGTTTTGTATGATGTAACACGAAATCTACGTCAAAAATTGTAAATCTATTTTGATGATTTTTAAATAGGAGTGGTCCCATATAAATTCGGAGATAATATTCCACCACTAAGGGAGCAAAAATAGGGGCTGAAGTCTTTATTGTTTAGACTACAAAGCTCGTAACATCGACTTCAGAATGTGACATTATTTTATTTCTTTTAGATATTTGCAGTTGGCTACTACTTTTAACTAAAATTTAATTTTGTCATGCAAAGTCACTCGATGACGATATGAATAACTGCATCCTAGTATTTATCCTTATGCTTTCTTCCTTATCCTCCTCCTTTTACTCCTCTCCTTCCACCCCCTCTTCTTCCTCCCCCACCTCCTTCATCATCTTTCGACAGTAATATCAACCTTTTTCTTTAGCGGTCTCTCGGACAAATTGAGGCGATAGATTCTCTTACACTGTAAACGCTGCGAATATTTTATAAACCGGTACCCTTACAGCCTATTAAAGTCCACTGCTGAACATAGGCCTCCCCCATAGATTGCCCCATTGGCATGGCAAATATTTGACATAGTTGCCACGCTTGGCAAGCGGGTTGGCAATCGCAGTTTTTTTTTAGTTATAGTCGTTATTAGAAAGACGCCGCTGCCCATCTCCTCATTTGTTTTACTCTGTCGCCTCTTACGACAACCACGGGATGATATGGGTTAGTGGATATTCTTGAACCGCCACTGGTCATTGAATATTTAATAAAATATATATACTTTTTTTTCAGCAATATCAAATCTCCATTTACAACAGTTACTAAAGTCCGGTATAATCGAGCCGAATCCGGACGCGGAGGAATTGAACCGGTTCTCTGATATCGACGAATTTACGTCGGCCATCTTGTTGTCCGGTTCCAACTCCCTACTGAAAACGAGAAAACACGTACGCACTAAAGGAAAGCTGATGAGTGTTGTTGAAATTTTTACTAGGTAAGTAAAGTCCATATGTCTCTAGGTCAGTGCTTCTTTTGACGTGAATACGTTTTTAAATTTTGCTGCCATATTGTGAGGAAATTCAAGAAACTGATGATAACAAAACCAAAAATATATATTTATATGCAGCTTTTTACGTGGTAGAGCCATGCTGCAGTTATATTAGTAGTATAGTTGTAGCATGAATGGGTCGGCTCAACCGGGGAAGGACCACGCTCTCCAGAATACCAGCGTAAAATAACAGCTTAACGCTACTGTGTTTCGTATGGTGAGTGTACAGAAACCGGAGACCCTTTTTACTGGAAACGAGGCATTTCATCTCAATCCTCAAGGGTGACAACGCATCTGCATTTTGATTCGTAATCGAGGATAGATGTAGATGTCTATGGGTCACCGCAACCACTTACCATCAGGTGGACTGTGTGCTCATTTGTCGCCCTATTTTATATAAAAAAAACAATTTATATCCAAAATTTAATTACAACACTCCATAGTTAAAGAATCAAAGAATTCGATACATTAGGTGCGTATGGCAGAAAAAAAGCGCTTGTAAGCAAAATGGCGATCGTAAGCGGTAAGCGCTGTCAAGTCGTAAGTAGCTATTTTCCTCTAGGACACGAAGTTAGTTTTAACCGGGGAACCTAAACTAATTTAAATATATGTTTGTAAAATATTCATATTAAAACCTTCTGTTTATTCATGTCATTATATTACTTAAAACTAATATTACACAAAACAACTTATAAACTCTACTTCAAAACAAACAAATTAAATAAGCAAAATGGCGGATTGTGTTAGCGCTACTGAAGTTAGCAAACGTGTCCTGGCCGAAAACTGTTTAGTTTCGCCATTTTGCTTACAAGCGCTTTTTTCTGCCAAACGCACCCTTTGAGTGAGGAGGGGGGAGCGCCGCCATTTTGAGGTCGTATCGTTACGTACACGCATTCACGTAAAACGACCACAGCCGTGTTTAATAAAAATTTTGACTAACCCCTCATATTATCTCAACTCAATTTTCATTCTTGTTATCGATAATCGAGCTAGGGAGTTATAAGCATAGAATACATTATAGTATTGAATACACAATAGAATGGCTGTCAATTTTACTTTGTATGAGGTTTGGCGTCGCCACAAATTTTTTAAATTAAAAAAAAAAAAAAAAAAAACCCGATTCGCTGTGTTGACAGACTGAATAAATTTACACATTGGAGACTTTTGATTAATGTTCAAGACCATCATTTAAAAAAATCGTTTAAATTTTAATACATATTTATTTGTAAATAGAGCGCAGTTTGGCATTTTTTAATTAATTTGCATGGGAAATTTGGAAACGATTGTAACGTCAAAAAACAACTCGTGTTGACGTTTATACGTGTGAATTGACGTGTTAGTGACATTTTAGTGGCTACGCGGGCTCCGCCCACTGCCCCGTTCTATTATGTATGTATTGTAGTATTCTATGGTTATAAGAAATATATATTGTACCTAGTACAAGAACATATCATTCTTTTTTTGAGGTATATTTTACGCATGTCTAAAACACCGTGTGTCACACGTGTTCAAGTAAATATGGGCAAACGCAAATTCGCAAAAGCTTGGACTATTTTAAAACTTGAACAAGTGTATAATTTGTGCAACATTCTTTCCACACATGTGACTGTATACTTGCGCATGTATATCATTACGTGTGTAGCTACCATAAAGTAAATTGCTTATTTTATGTATATATGTGTACTTTCATACAGTTCCGGCGACAGAGCGCACATAGGCAGCGAAAGCGTCAACTACGCGATAAACAAGCGCAAACACGGAACTCAACTTCTAACCTACTTCGGCGGATATCATTCCACTGAGAGGCGAGCGCTAGTTGTGTACAAAACGTCTGTTATATCGCCGCACACCGCTTTGCTGTTTTGTATGGGAAACATAGAGAAGCAGGTAAATTAGTAATGTTTTGGTGTGATAGAAATAGAGAGAGATTTCTTAACACATTTTTGCATGAACTACACATATATACATACACGCACACAGCTTATGTATTTAATTTTTTTAAATTATTATATCGCAGTAATATGTACTTACGCACTAGAACAGCTATCTCAAACAAAAAATGTGGGCTACTCCGTGTTCGCGCGGTTGTTTTTTTTATCATAGAATAAACATAGGTAGAATGACCCGTAGGTAATAGTAGATTGTATTGTTAAATAGGTAAATTATATCGAGAACAATATTTAAATTTTATCATTTATTTTGTATATTATATTTGCTTATTTAATATAATATTACATAATATTATATCACAAATACATTTTAATGATATTTTAACTGAATATTTTAAAAGGTATCTAAGTTAAATATAAAAAACATACTAAATGTATTTTTAACAAAACTTAACATTAACATAACATTTAAATTACAGATATATTTATTTAAATTAGAATAAAAGTCGTCCATAAATGCTGAGCACGCGAGAGTTAAAAATGGACGAATTTATTCCACTTTGATTTTGATGTGGATACCTAAAAATAAAATAAAAGAATAATAAGCAGATTTAAACATGAAAATTTTTGCCAATAATGATTTCTTATATTTACGCGAACACTACACATTGAAATAATACTAGTTTTTACGGAATTTATCGCGTATATTTAACTTTTTAAATACCCGACGTTTCGAACGCTATACAGCACTCATGGTCACGGGCGGGACTGAGATGTTCAACGTCCATATGTCATAGTTAACCGCGGTTACCATAGATTAAAAATTAACTTTTGTTCCGAACTATGCAGTATGAACTTATGGTATCTTGAAGTCTTGCAGTTGTATGCTTGGGTTGGGATTTAATTTTATTTATTATAGGATCCCAAGCAGATGGTAGCACCCAGCCATCTTCTCTATTGAAATTAGGATGTTTTTTGATTTCAATAGCCTCGCGAATCATCCTTGAAAGGAATCGGTGTTCTTTAGCGAGGATTTGCGGTCTATCAAATCTGATGTAGTGACGGGGCCGATCCTGTACGTGTTCACAGACTGCAGACTTCCCGGAGCGTCGATTCTTCACATCAGCTATATGTTCTTTAACGCGGGTTTTTATTGATCTTTTAGTTTGTCCTATGTAGGAGAGACCACATTCACAATCAAGCTTGTACACTCCTGCATCTTGCAGAGGGACATTACACTTGACCGATGGTAAAAACTGACCAATCTTCTTCAGCGGCTTGAAGTATGTTTTGATGGAAGCGCGCTTCAAGATGTAGCCAATCTTGTCAGTGACTCCTCTAACATATGGCAGTACAGCAGGTACACGCTCGACTGTGGCCGGCTTCACTCGTTCACTGTGACATAAGCGCGGGACTTGAAGCTTGTTGTCATGCAAAACTTGCTTTATATACAACCTTATTACGGTACACAATGAATAACAATAACTATATAATAAATACCTTTAAACGAGCAATTCTTGATATATATATATATATATATATATATATATATATTATCGGAATCTCGGAAACGGCTCCAACGATTTTTAAAAAATTTAGTGTCCAGGGAGTTTCGGGGGGCAATAAATCGATCTAGCTAGGATTTATTTTTAGAAAATGTTTTTTTGTCCGTGTTTTCAGACAATGAAAAACTGCTACAATATAAGTAGGTATATTTTGACACTGTGTTAATGATCGTAATAACTCAAGTGGACAGCGAGCAGCCGCGAAATCGCAATCCCTTGGTTCGCGTCCTGTGTTCGGTCCGACTTTTTCCTTTTTTTTAAGTACCCTTCTTTTGTGAGAAAATCTATTATTTCGAGCCCTTTTTTTAGTATTTTTTAAAAAATATGAAAATTTTAATTAAACTACATTACACTCATGATTTTTATTTAAATAACCAGTTCAGTTTTTTCTGTTATGTCAATAAGATCAAAAAATATTATTCATCAGTATGTAATTTGTATCTAAATGTAATTTCAAAAAATATCGAGCAAAGCTCGGCATCCGGGTACTAATGACATAATCTAAGCACTTATATCATTCAGCATTGTTGCCACATAACATATCACTGAATCAGTCAGTAATAAACGACCGCGAAGCAATGTATTCGTAACATTCTGTATTTTATATATTTTGAGTCAATGATCCAAATGAGCCAAATGAAACATATCAGTGTTTCAGAACACTTCAGTGATCGAGATGCAAATGTTCCAATCGCAAAAATGGTACACTTTGCACACCTCCACTAGCGAGTGACTGATTAAAGTGCGGTGTATGCACCGCAGTTGAGTGGAACAGAGTAGCTGAATGCAGTGTCGCCTCCAGTACGTAGTACATAATAGCTCAATGAATTATTATGATTATTGTTGTTATTGTTTCTTTTTATTTTTTTACTTTACATTGCGATTAGTAATTGCATTGAATTTATAGAATATTCAAATAATTTGTCTAATATTGTATATCTAATTTAATTATGTTATTTAATAATGAAAGTTTATAATGTAATCCATATAATGTAATTTTTACCTGGTATAGCCATGCTGCATCTATATTGTGGTTGCAGCATGAATGGGTCGGATCAACCGGGGAAAGACCACGCTCTCACAGAATACCAGCATAAAATAACCGCTTAGTACTGCTGTGTTTCGTATGGTGAGTTTAGAGATCCGGAGACCCTTTTTAATGGAAACGAGGCATTCCATCTTAGTCCTCAGGGGTGACAACGTATCGAGTTTTGATTCTTAATCGAGGAAAGATGTGGATGTTTATGGACCACAGCATCCACTTACCATCGGGTGGACTGTGTGCTAGTTTGCCACCCTTATTCTATAAAAAAACAATAATAATGTTATTTAAAATTTTATAATTGCTACGCCCAAATCGGGTTAAAATGAGGACTTTTTTTTAAAACATCACATCTTATATTACCATATGATTGCAATAAAGATGATTATAACTTATGCCGTAGGTATTAGCCGTGGTAACTTGGGGCTTAGCGCTTGCCGTAAGTATAAACTCGAGTTCGAAACCCTGCCGGCGCCAATAAAATTGTTAATTGCAGTTTTAAGCGCTTAACCACGTGCTTGGCAGAGAAGGAAAACATCTTGAGGAAACGTGCATATATCATAAATTTAAAAATAACTTGTTAAAAAGAATGTGAGGAGGCCTGTACCCAGCTGTGGAAATTACATGTATAGGCTGTAACTTTCCAAGGATACGATAGATGGCGCTGTAGTTAAGTTATCATTAAATTATTATGCACAAAAATAATCGTATTCACGTTATTGTGTTGGCTTAGCGCCAAAAGTGGTCATAATATCTTTATCTGATATGTGACGCTGTGGAATTTTGCATAGAATATACTATATATAATACATACATAATAGAACAGGGGAGCGGGCGGAGCCCGCGTAGCCACTAAAATGTCACTAACATGTCAATTCACATGTATAAATGTCAAAACGAGATGTGTTTTGACGTTACAATTGTTTCCAAATTTCGCATGCAAATTATTTAGAAAATGCCAAATTGCACCCTATTTACAAATAAATATGTATTAAAATTTAAACGACTTTTTTAATGATGATTTTGAACATTTATCAAAAGTCTAAAATGTGTAAGTTCACTCAGTCTGTCAACACATCGACTCGGGTTTGGCAACGCCAATCCTGGTTTGAAATAGAGTTGACAGCCATTCTATTGTGTATTATAGTATTCTATGGAATTTTGATATTATAAATGTTAATTTAAAGTGAAACTGTTCGTGTCACCCATCACGTTATTTTCACACTTCCTAGGTTGACTGGCAAAGAAAGCCAAAAGTCATTAAGTCCACCCTTTGTAATCCATTTCATTAAGGTATTTTACAATAAAAAACTATAAATAAATAAATAAAATTATATTTAGGAATTGTATTTTTGAAAAGACTATGATTTTCTCAAATATTATTTAGAAACTGAAAACATATAAAGATTCATTCAAAGATAAAAAATGTACAAAAAATTTTAAAATACAATAGGATATTAGCATTTGCTGAGTCGGAATCCTTTTTGGCATCACATCACTCACTCTTGCCGAGACTTATTTTTACTATGTTTACCATCTTGTACCTTGTGTGTTTTTTATGTTTTTATTTACTTTTAAATGTATATTTTGTGAGTGTATTGATGCAAATAAAACTTATGTCTATGTCTATGTCATATTATTTAACAACTTATTATATCATATTTAAACAAATAAACAAATTCTTCTTCCATTAGGCCATTAAAATCAACTGTTTATTCATTTTATTTTTTTTTTAATTACAGGAAACAGACGGTAACGACGATGCGGTCATATTAAGTTTACCGAGACACAAACTTAGTGTTCATGTTCCTTCTAGGTAAGTTTTACTAAATAATACCATTTAAACTGGCTTTATTATATTGAAAAATTATAGGGTTGAGTAAAATGCCAATTAGGATTAGAAATAGACACAGCAAGTATACAATCAACTCGTCAAAAATGGTTAAGCTTCTTTGAAAGGGTCGCTAATATTCAGATGTCGTACTTAGGTTGGTTTTCTCGTAGTCTTTTCTATGGATTCCGTGATCGCCGGCGCACACTTTTATCTATCAATATAAAACACAAAAAATGTGTCTACATATGTCCGTTTTAGACTTTGAAACCATCCAGACGATGTGCCCCAAACCGGTTGCATTACAAAGGCAATAATGGGAAGATGGATTTATACCACTAAAACAATGCATTAGACACTATATAAAAAGTTAATAAACAAAATTTCCTTTTTTTTTCAACAAATAAACAAAATGTATTTTTTTTAACATAGTAGCACACGCCGTGTATCCGCTAGTAAGTACCCAATGTGAAAAGAATATCGAACGTTCTATTTTTTTAAACTCACACTAGGATTTTCTCTTGTATCGTAGTGGCAGTTTACAAACATAAATTGAAACATCTAGACCCGGAACAATTATTTGTAATATAAATTTTTAAACCCACAAATTCTTGTTTCATACGAGATTCGAACTCGCGCTCTATGCTTAAGCCACTGCGCCACTGAGCCGTCAGTCATTCAAGCATTTCTTGCAATGGTAAGGTACTAGAACATTCGCGTTTAACAATATCCAAACGAGAATATCCTTAATGGTCATAGACATAATGTTCCTTGCATCAATACATTTTGGCATTGTCTATCTTTATGCCTACAGATTTTATTAAATTGACAGAGGACTTTGACCCTCATCTTCGGGAACATTCTCGTGCAACATAAGTAGTATTAATATTTTCTTAAGTATTTTTTTTTAGTTTTTTTATTTTTTATTTTCCGATCCGTTCGATTGTGTAGATCTAAACAAAAATTTCCCGAGTTGCCGGCATCAATCGACAACCTGTATTTCATAGGGTCGTCACTCCATTTGGTTTATCAAATAGAACTACTTTCACCAGGCGATAAGACTCCATTCTTGCCTAGGAATCCGTTTGGCTGGGTGCTTTTATTTATTTTTGCCCAAAGACGTATAAAAAAGGATAGACAGGTTACACACAAATATTATTGTATTTTACAGTGGCGTAGGTAGTACTATATCTACGTACAGTTATTTATTCTAACACGTTGCGCTTTCAAAAAGAGACAAATGAGGTAGGTAGGGGTACATATCGTTAGAAAAAGATGAATATACATTATTAGTTACGTATTGATTGCTTCTTAGCGCTCATTGGCGCGAGAGCGTGACTTACTGATACGGAGGATAACATTGTCTCTTTCACTCATGCACAGATTACATCTCGTTCTTTACCTTACACGTATTAAACAACAGTCAAACGAAATTATATCTACTTTTTTAATTTTAAAATCTGTACTTACGAATGAATTGAGACGCTTTTCTTGTCTCTAACAGTTGCCGTGTAATTTGTACACCATCTAAAAACACAAGAAAGCATTTTTGCCACGAATAACTCGAGGGTTTACGCGCTGTAGCGAAGTATAATAGCCGCGACGCGAGAGCGTGCCCGACTGAATGCAAGTCGGGCAATTGCCTATCGTATTGCCATTCTAGAGCGAGTACGACGTATCTATAAGTTTAAAAACATCTTAGTTTTTGCCGCCAAATAGCAGTGTCCGTTATGAACGGTATAAAGCCAGTATAATTACAGGCTGTGAGGCTTTACGTCTTAGTCTTCAGAGGTGACAACGCATCTATAGTTTTTTTGAAGTGGGCTGCAGGTGTCCATAGGCTGCAATAGCCACTTAGCATAGGGCTGCAAATTCCATTTGTCACTTCAGTTTAAAAAAAGATAACCTCGATCGTGACTCGTATGGAATTTTCTCCTTTTTAAATTTTTTGGTGGTATGAACTTGATTAATACTCCATGATTTTTTTTTTATTTGTGGATAATAAAGAATTATTATTATCATTATTTGTTTACAGCCAAGCCGATCACATTCTAAAAGCAAGGGAAATGCTCTGGAAAACATTTCAATATTACATTGAGAGGGATTTGAAGAATCTCAGCTACGACGACTTTACTAACATTTCTAGGTTCAAAGTCAGACTGGTAAAGGCTGTAGGCAGGATATTGGTCGAAGCCGACGAACAATCCTTACAAAGGAAAAAAATTGATGACGAAAATAGATAAATTATTAAAACGACAATGTGTTTTTTTTAAATAAAAACTTACATTTTTTTAAGACTGTTGCTATGGATCTCATCACCATTTTCGTCATTACAGCGTACCAAAAGCTCACTGCCGATCATAGCTACAGTTACCGCGCTGAGCAGGCCAATTAGCAACCACAGTTTGTTTTTAATATTTTGACATTTTATCAAGAAGAAGTGATCTATCTCCCATTTCATTTCCCTCACATGGTGCCTGTGGATCACCTACGGATCTATATCCTTTTGTTTCTATTGCTTCTTTCAAACTAAGCAGCACCATCTTCTTGTTAAAAACTCAAAATAATTAAAAAATCTGCTATACTAATCTATATTTGAATTATAAATGTTTATCTACTATATTCCTCTTCCCGTATGAGTAGTAAGGAGGGTAAACGTCAAACAAACTGCAATGAATTTAATATGACGTACCATCTTGTACAAAATAGGATTTGAATTATCCAAACCGGCCACGGGGAGTAGCGACAACAAACGTGCAAGACACCTGATATGCAATCAGCGATCTGCCGCCATGTGGCAATCTATGCTAATCCTTCCTACAACGGTAAAGGCGCATGCACACCATTGAAAATCGGTTGATGATTTTTTTACGCTCATAAACAGCGCGTATACCAAACACCCAGGCCCAGAACTATTATTTTAAGGTCATACATGATTTTTTACGCTCATAAACTGCGCATATACCAAACACCCAGTCCGAAAACTATTATTTTAAGGTCATACACGATTTTTTACGCTCATAAACAACGCGTATACTAAACACCCAGGCCGAAAACTATTATTTTAAGGTCATACATGATTTTTACGCTCATAAACAGCGCGTATACCTAACACCCAGTCCGAGAACTATTATTTTAAGGTCATAAATGATTTTTTACGCTCATAAACAGCGCGTATACCAAACACCCAGTCCGAAAACTATTATTTTAAGGTCATACATGATTTTTTACGCTCATAAACAGCGCGTATACCAAACACCCAGGCTGAGAACTATTATTTTAAGGTCATACATGATTTTTTACGCTCATAAACAGCGCGTATACCAAACACCCAGTCCGAAAACTATTATTTTAAGTAAATACATGATTTTTTACGCTCATAAACAGCGCGTATACCAAACACACCCAGTCTGAACACTATTATTTTAAGGTCATACATGATTTTTTACGCTCATAAACAGCGCGTATACCAAACACCCAGGCCGAGAACTATTATTTTAAGGTCATACATGATTTTTTACGCTCATAAAGATAAGAGAAGACCGAAATATCATGTATGACCTTATATTTCGGTCTTCGAAGGTGTCTAGACAGGGCAATCGTGCGGTGCGAGACGCGGGCAGAGCGCCCCCGAGCGACCGCTCGGAAACTGTCCGCTAGGGTTGTCCAGTCACGCATATGAATTAAAATGATTCAGACTACATGTGCGGTAAACAACTGTTGGTCGTTCTAATTTAAAGATAAGGAATTAAAGTTTCATCTGTTTCACATACATATCAATTTATTTAACCGTGAAATAAATAAAATCAATCTTTTATCAATCAATATTTTATCTTTTGTCTTTCCCAGGACAGAGGGTTTTTTCAAACCAGTGGTAAAGTAAAAAATGACTTTCAATAACGTGTCACGTTGTTTGTCCGCGATGGACTCATAATTTACTTAACCGATTTTAATCAAATTTGCACACCGTGTGCAGTTTGGTCCAACTTGAGAGATAGGGTAGTTTTTTGCCCATGAGTGATCCATAAAATGTTTTTGCGCATTTAAGGATTTTTAATAGCACGTGACAAAGGGTCGTCGAAAAGGGCAGAACAACGTCTGCCTGGCAAGCTAGTATTGAATAAAAAATTATTCTATTCTATTTTTTATGCCGGCTTCTCCGACAATATCAAACGCGATGACTGTATGTTCTTAGGCTGTGACAGTGGCGAAGCTACAGCTCCAAACTAGGGCAAGCCCAAAATATAAATTGATAAAAATATAGATTGTTGTTTTTAGCAGTTTTATAAAAATACGCCAATCTTGATCTGTCTCCACGCTTCAGTTTCATATTCAGTGCTGTCAAGGACGTATTTAACAAAGCACACAGAAGGCATACTACTGCTAGATAGATTTTATTACATATCAGCAATTGCATAGCTTCGGTGGCTTTGAAGAAGGCCGTTTGAGTTTGTTTAAGCGAAAGAAAAAATATTTACATCCAATACAATACATGAACAAAAGTAAAACATGAACAAAGTACAAACAAACTATGTACAAAATAAAAAATAAACAAATTATTTACATTCTAATGGATAAGATAAGATAAGTGGAATCGTCTCGCTTTCTTAAGGAAAGATTTAATTACGTCCACGTAAAATGTTGGTGAACGTTTTAATTATACCATTATCTGTTTTTTAATTGCGATAATTGATAAGTCTGAAATACACTCTTGACTTTGTATGTTATTTCAACAAAGTTTAAAAATATTACCTTTTCTTCGCCGATTAGCACTTTAACACACTTCAATTCATCACAAGGAACACTCTTTCCCTCCATTTTTATTAAAAATCTTTAAAAAAGCATAAATTTTAAACTCGCAATACATTCGCTCAAGCTCAACACACAATGCCAATATAGATAAATAAATATGTAGCAAGCTACACAATGCACAAAGTACTTTTTGACACAATGCAATGTAAACACCAAACAGTGGGTGCGTTTGGCAGAAAAAAGCGCTAGCAAGCGCTTATAAGCGCTAAAATAGTTTTCGGCCAGGACACGATTGCTACTTCAGTAGCGCTGATACAATCCGCCATTTTGCTTATTTAATTTGTTTGTTTTGAAGTAGAGTTTATAAGTTGTTTTGTGCAATATTAGTTTTAAGTAATATAATTACATGAATAAACATACACATGCTATTAAAAATTCATGATTTGTAAGTTTTTAATATGAATACTTTACAAACATATATTTAAATTAGATTAGATTCCCCGGTTAAAACTAACATCGTGTCCTGGAGGAAAATAGCTACTTACGATTTGACAGCGCTTACTGCTTACTATCGCCATTTTGCTTACAAGCGCTAAAATAGTTTTCGGCCAGGACACGATTGCTACTTCAGTAGCGCTGACACAATCCGCCATTTTGCTTATTTAATTTGTTTGTTTTGAAGTAGAGTTTATAAGTTGTTTTGTGCAATATTAGTTTTAAGTAATATAATGACATGAATAAACATATACATGCTATTAAAAACTCATGATTGGTAAGTTTTTAATATGAATACTTTACAAACATATATTTAAATTAGGTTAGATTCCCCGGTTAAAACTAACATCGTGTCCTGGAAGAAAATAGCTACTTACGATTTGACAGCGCTTACCGCTTACGATCGCCATTTTGCTTACAAGCGCTTGCTAGCGCTTTTTTCTGCCAAACGCACCCATTGAAATGTGACGTGAACTTGCTAACATATTGTCGGCTCGTCGGCGTCGGCCGCGCCCCTCCTCTCTCGACTAACTTCATACCTAACGTGACCATACGTCCCACTTTCGGCGGGACGGTTTAAACGTTTGTGTCGCGCTATCCCCAAAATACGTAAAAATGTCCCGCTTTAACAAACAAAAGCTTGACAATCATGCAAACCCTGTCACCCGTGCCATCATTATAACACCGCGCGTACCAGGTTTGCATAGCTTGTCCAGTTACGTGATTATTCTGAAAAGCTACACTTTTGAATTTAAAGTTACGCAGTGACAATTTTTAATTAATCTACAGTAAATTATCAAATAACATATGATATTTCCAATTAGTATTTATTTGATGTTCAGAATTCACTTTTAATCATTAAAAGACTCAAACAACTATGTGTTTTATTTATAAAACTATATTAAAGGGTTCCAGATTGAATTTTGGTAAGGCGTAAGTATATAATACTAACATATACAATAAGTGTAATACTACTGCTACTGAGAATTTTGTGACGGAAAAACCCAACAAATGATTCTTGACCCGACTCGGGTTTCGAACTTGGGACCACATGATCAGCAATTGCGTTTACTGCCATTAGACCAAGAAGGCAGTCAAAAGTGTTAGAACTATAATAATTTTAAAGGCGTTCCGCCCTGAGAAAAAAATTAATGGTCACTAAAAAGCCGGGCTTTTTATCTCCATACTAATTTCTATTTATACAATCGTAGTTATATTTCATTATAGAACATTTTGCCACAGGTTAGAAAGGGAGTAATCGCCTTCTCGAAAGCCCGGTAAAAAGCCCACGCGTGCGAGGAAGACAACCAATGGCTCAATTCAACTCTCCTTATATGTATGACAGCAGTATTCGTAAGGCTACAAGGTCGAACAGAGTGCGCGGGAAATTTGAAATAGTTTGAAACAGTTTACGAGTTATTTTATTACTTGATATAATTGATAGATTCATCTTAATGAGTCAAGCCGGGCTTTTGGGCTTGTATAGAGGCTTCGCCACTGGGCTGTGAACGTACCATAATAATTGTTGGGTGACGCGATTAAAACTAAACATAATTAGTGCGATTTTTGTCGTCGTGTTATTCATTTACCCTATATTTGCAAACACTCTCTTGCAAATACAGCCTCGTAGGTCTAGTGGTTGTAGTAGTGCGACTGCTGATCATGAGGACCTGGGTTCGAATCTCGAGTCGGGCCAAAAAATCAATTATTGAGTTTTTCCGTCAAAAAATTCTCAGTAGGTGCCCGGAGTCAGGGATTTGGCGGTGTCTCACCCCCGTGCCTCGGAAAGCACGTAAAGCCGTTGAACCTGCGCCTGATCTCTCTCCGGTCGTGTTTGCCGTTACCTTCCCATCGGACTATGAGAGTGAGGGAATAGAGAGTGCACCTGTGCTTGCGCATACACTTGGGCACTATAATCCTGTCCTGCGCCGATGGCTAGTATCCGTTGAGGCAGGCTGCCGTGGCCGAAATTCGGTCTTGAGGACATTATTATTAT